CCCATAAGAAATAATAGAAATACAATTAATCTTTTCTAGACAGCCAAAAGTATTAAAAAAAAAAAATTTTCACACGAAGTACACATTTTCGTACACAGAAAACAATGAGACATGCAGAATAAATACATTAATAATTCATAAAATGACACTTGCCTTTATTGAAGACTTAGTGATGAGATGGGAGCGGAGAGGATGGAGGTGTATTATTGTTTGGAAGGGGAATCTCCTTCCATGAGGACTTTAGGTAGCAAGTCCTTTTCTGGGGTTACCTCCCTTTGTTTTTTAATGCCACTAGGACCAGCTTGAGTGTCACTGGACCCCCGTCACACCAAAAATCTCTCCAGAGCTCTGTTTCTGGCGTGTCTTTAAGATTTCCTTAAAATGGGACACAACATTGTCATTGTAAAAGTCACCAGCATGGCTTGCAAGAGCTGTATCAGGGTGATGTTCATCTATAAAGGCTTGCACCTTTGTCCACATTGTACAAATGTCCTTAATCGTTGAAGAAGGGAATTCAACTGGCTGTACATGGAGTTGCCGGGTGGCTCGGGCCACGCGGACACGTTCTGGACAAATGTTCTTAACTGAGTTTATCGTTAGCCGAGCCAATATTTTGATGCAAAAACGTATCGGTATCTGATGGTATTGTTAACTGAGAGTCCACTGTATGTATATAATTGGGGCCCTGATATTATATTCTAGAGGGAGTTTATTATATTATTTCAGGTAACTTTTTATATTGTATCTTTATACAAGCTTTTAAACTGTTATATCTGGGCACCTCTGCAAAAACAGTGATTGTATGAGGTGAAAGTGTTGAATGATGATGAAAGTATTTTCATTTTGGGGATTTTTTCTTTTTGGGTCACCCTGCCTAGGTGGGAGATGGCCGACTTGTTGAAAAAAAAAAATGTAGATACTTGCTAGATATTTTTGTTCTTAAATGTTTCATCATAAGGCTGCTAATTTAGCACAATATGAACAAAAAATCAATTCTCCATAGTACTGAACAGATGGGCCTCACTTATACAGCAGGTTAGGTTCCAGGCTATTGTTATAAAGCGAAAATTGCTATAAAATGAAACGTAGCCTTTTTCACATTTATATGCATATAAAAGCCTGGTAACATGTTTACACTATCATATATTAAATGAACAAGAGTTAGACCTAAAATAAATGTATATACAGTACACACATTTACTTCAAAATATTTTGTCTGTATCTTATAGTAAGTGGTGAACATATTTATTGTAGGAAATCTGAATAATTGAAAACTGCTGCATTAGTGAAATGCCGTAATGCGAAATGCTGTAAAGCAGGGCCCACCTGTAATTGAATATGTAGCTCTTCATTGAAATAATGGCAGTGGAGTACTGACTGCAGCTATCATAACAGCTTTCAGAAACCATTAAATTTGATTGACAAAAGCTTTTTTAAGGGGTTAAGGATTCTTCAGTGCACTGGAAAATAACGGAAAAATGTAAGAATCACATTTAGCTAAAATAAAAAACTAGTGCCAGAGCGTTGTATCTACTAAGACAAGTTATGTTGATACTGACAGTAGGGACGAAAGGACACAAGTGCATACTCTACGGACATTTTTGTTGTATGTTTTGGTCCATGGATCTTGGTCACTCCAAATGATACAAGAGACAGAGAAGACACAGTATATATAGTGGAGAATGCAAGCCACTGGTGATGGTCAGATGGAGGTGCAAGGTCGTGTAATTGCTGTGTTCCATGGAAGCCAAGAAGCAGCATACTGCAATATCATGTATACCAGAGTTGAGATGTATTTGCCAGCCCTTTGGTCTGTGGTGTAGGATGTAGCAATTAATGAGTCTTCAGTACAGTGGCACATGTTGTGTTCCAGATCATTTTATTAGCATTGCTCTAGTGCATAAGAATTATCTTTAGTCTGGAATGTGAAACGCCCATTGCTAGTGTCGTCTAAATTGCCAACATTTTTGTGTTCTTGAAAATGTGTGGAAAGAAACTTAAACAAGCCTCTTGAAGAATTTGAGCCTAAGAAAATTTCAGTAAATTATTTATACACTGTACCAATAAAAGCTTTCATATACAAATGTACCAGGTGATGATGCATTGCTGCTGGTCTTTTCATGCTTACAGTTTACTCATGTTTCAATGACAAATGCAGAGAAAGGAAACGAGCAAGATATAATAGTAGTAGTAAAAGAAAAGGTGTTCACATGAATACATGACACATCATGTTTGATGAAATGTTTCCATATAGTATTTTGTTGCCTTTGTTTTTGCCATTGCCATCTCTGCTGTGTACAATTCTGCTTAAAAATTATAAAAAGATGCCACTGTTTAATGGTTAATTGTACTTTGAAAATTGGAGGCTATATAGTAAGTCTCTGTATTTTGTTCCCTTAATGTTAATAGATTGTACTGTACAGTATTATTTTTACTAAGTGTCACTTTAGTTTCTATGTACCCATTTTCATCATAGTCACCTTTCCCATACTCTGTACAGGCCCCATTGATATCCCAGTTTTTGCTCGTTTTGTTTCTACCAGGTCTGTTAATGCAAAAATCACCCGTGTAAATATTTCATTATCTATGAAACTGAGAGAGAAAAAAAAAAAAAAAAAAAAAAAAAAGGCTAGTCTTGAAACTGTATAATAGTATCAGTCTTAAGCCATCTTGAAGCTTGGACCACCAGCTGGTTCACCATTATATAGCAAGTGGGTAGACAACAGCCAGAGTTTCTTGGGAAGTAGTCCTTGACACAGTCCTTTTCACAATTCATATATATATATGTAGGTAGTAGGTTGGTAGACAGCAACCACCCAGGGAGGTACTACCGTCCTGCCAAGTGAGCATAAAATGAAAGCCTGTAATTGTTTTACATGATGGTAGGATTGCTGGTGTCTTTTCTCTCATAAATATGCAAGATTACAGGTACGTCTTGCTACTTCTTCTTACACTTAGGTCACACTACACTACACATACGTGTACAAGCATATATACAGTGGACCCCCGCTTAACGATCACCTCCAAATGCGACCAATTATGTAAGTGTATTTATGTAAGTGCATTTGTACGTGTATGTTTGGGGGTCTGAAATGGACTAATCTACTTCACAATATTCCTTATAGGAAAAAATTCGGTCAGTACTGGCACCTGAACATACTACTGGAATGAAAAAAGTTCGTTAACCGGGGGTCCACTGTATATGTATGTATGTATGTATATATGTATGTATGTATGTATATATGTATAATGTATATATATATATATATATATGTATATATGTATGTATGGGTATTAAAAGTTGACATGTTATTTTTGTATGATATGTTTAATGATTCTAAAGAAAATTATATTATGATATTTGAATATGTGTAAAGTAGAAATTAAGTGAACATAGAAAAGGTAATATAGGGAAATATTAGATATAAAAATTGATACAAATGGGAGGAGGGGTTATAGGAATGAAGAGAATGGTTTTTAATACTTGGGTTGCTGGGGATGGATTTAGAAAGGGGAACATATGAATGATTTAGGGAAAAAGGTGGTGGTGCGTTGGAGATGGGAGTCAAAACTTATCTTTGGGGGAGGGGTGTTAAAGTTGTAGTTCAACACTTTATGTGTAAAGCTCGTTTGCAGCAGCGAGGACGTTTGGGGGAGGGAAATTTCTTTTTAGGGCCCCCTGTTGGTGGGAAATCGGGGTGTGAAATTTAAAATTGATTTAAAAAAAGTATTATGAGGAATAATGATATTTTATTGGTTTAGTTATTTAAGAGAATATATAGTAGAATGACATAATAATATAAATTATAGAAAGAATATCGTTAAAAATTTGGAGAGATAAAATTTGTTTAATTATTAGCAACTTGATTTAGATAGGAGATGAATGAGACGAATGGTATTTGGACCTACGATCTGTTATGTAGATAATATTTAGTAAGGATTAAAACTTAATTTATATATATATATTATTTAAATAATACATATATATTTAAAGAGGTTTATATTATTTAGGATATGTTTGTATCTTTATATGTTAGTATCTAGATTTATATCTGAGCACACTCGCAAAAACACCAAATGTGGGTTTTGTTTGATGTTGATGAAATATTTTTCTTTTTGGGTTTTTTCTTCTTTTTTGGGGTCAAAATCCCTTTTTGGGCCTGCGGTGGTAAAAGGCGACTTGCTGAGAAAGCATAACCTTTATGTATATATTACTAAATTTAAAAGGAGAAACTTTAGTTTTTTCTTTTGGGCCACCCTGCCTCGGTGGGATACGGCTGGTACGTTGAAAGAAGAAGAATATGTATGTTCTGGGAATGTGACTATCTTTTTAAAATTGTGTGGAAAAACTTAATATAAAAAAGCATCCAGTGCTAAAAGTAGAGATATTATGGTGTCTGGATAACCTGGCACAGTTAGATTTTAAAAATGAGTTTATATGCTGGCACTGGACAAGCACCTAAAGTCGGTTCCTGACCAGCCGGGCTGTGGCTCGTACGTTGGTTTGCGTGCAGCCATCAGCAACAGCCTGGTTGATCAGGCTCTGATCCACCAGAAGGCCTGGTCACAGACCGGGCCACGGGGGCGTTGATCCCCGGTACTCTCTCCAGGTAAACTCCAGGTAAATATGCAATGTGTGCAAATTAATGCATTTAGTATAGTATACAAATGTCATGTGAATATAAAATGTTTGGAATCCCACTAGCTGTATGACCCATAGAAATCGTGCAATGCTTGTGGAATGGAAAGTAATGGGTTTTAGCTAAGGAAGGGCAGAGCAGTTCTAATTCCTTGGCTCAAGACACCTCCCTCCTTGAAGGGAAAGCCTAAAAACTGGAATGATCTTGGTCTTGGGTGCCGAGTTTGTACCTTTAACAGTATTGGTAATTAATGCATAGAACACCTAATTGCATTATGTACTTAGAAACTTAGTACTGTCTGAAAGTTAGTTTTCATATCACTGTCAGTGTGATAATCTAATAAAATTTAATTTTCAACAGAACTGGCAATACCTGTCCGGGGTGGTAGCGACACTGAATGAACAAGGTGAAGCTGCTGTTAATAGTGTGCCATCATATCTACAGGTAAGAATGTCATTCCTTACATGGTGATAACATTTTCCTTTGTAGATGATTTTATTCAGAGAGATGTTGATCAGTTGTTCTTTTTAGCATTATTATCCATTCAAGAAAGGCTCCTTGATGCAGGTAAGGGACTCTTGATCAAAGAAATTGAATCTGTCCTTTCCCTCCTTGGATTGATTCTGCTTGCCTCATATTCCCCAGGTTCTGTATGACACCTTTGGGTTTAGTAATTCCCCAAATATAATAATACACCTTATACTGTACTTACATGAGGGTGCTACAAATGTGCATGGGGAACTGGGAGGTAATAAGTTTGAACTGAGGAAGAGAAGGGTTGCTCAAATGCCTTGGATCAAAAGACCTTCAGAGCATCAGGGTACCTTAATTGAAGTTCCCACTCCATAAGATGGCAGTTTTTTCTAGGCTTGTAAGTGCCAAGCCCCTGTGGCTTAGCGCTTCTTTTTGATTATTATAATAATAATAAGAAACTGGATGTCCTGGCTTTAAGTGAAACAAAGCTGAAGGGGGTGGGAGAGTTTCAGTGGAGAGGAATAAATGGGATTAGGTCAGGGGTTTCAAAAAGAGTTAGAGCTAAAGAAGGAGTAGCAATAATGTTGAAGGATAAGCTATGGCAGGAAAAGAGGAAAATAAAGATTGGATGTGAAAAGTGGGTTATAGTAAGCGTGTATGCACCTGGAGAAGAGAAAAGTGTAGAGGAGAGAGAGAGATTCTGGGAAATGTTGAGTGAATGCGTGGAGAGTTTTGAATCAAGTGTGAGAGTAATGGTGGTTGGGGATTTCTATGCTAAAGTGGATAAAAATGTTATGGAGGGAGGAGTAGGTAAATTTGGGGTGCCAGGGGTAAATGTAAATGGGGAGCCTTTAATTGAGCTATGTGTAGAAAGAAATTTGGTAATAAGTAATACACATTTTATGAAAAAGAGGATAAATAAATATACAAGGTATGATGTAGCACGTAATGAAAGTAGTTTATTAGATTATGTAATGGTGGATAAAAGGTTGATGGGTAGGCTCCAGGATGTACATGTTTATAGAGGGGCAACTGATATATCGGATCATTATTTAGTTGTAGCTACAGTTAGAGTAAGAGGTAGATGGGAAAAGAGGAAGGTGGCAACAACAAGTAAGAGGGAGGTGAAAGTGTATAAACTAAGGGAGGAGGAAGTTCGGGAGAGATACAAGCGACTATTGGCAGAAAGGTGGGCTAGTGCAAAGATGAGTAGTGGGGGGGGGGGGGGGTTGAAGAGGGTTGGAATAGTTTTAAAAATGCAGTATTAGAATGTGGGGCAGAAGTTTGTGGTTATAGGAGGGTAGGGGCAGGAGGAAAGAGGAGTGATTGGTGGAATGAAGTAAAGGGTGTGATAAAAGAGAAAAAGGTAGCTTATGAGAGGTTTTTACAAAGCAGAAGTGTTATAAGAAGAGCAGAGTATATGGAGAGTAAAAGAAAGGTGAAGAGAGTGGTGAGAGAGTGCAAAAGGAGAGCAGATGATAGAGTGGGAGAGGCACTGTCAAGAAATTTTAATATAAATAAGAAAAAATTTTGGAGTGAGTTAAACAAGTTAAGAAAGCCTAGTGAAAGTATGGATTTATCAGTTAAAAACAGAGTAGGGGAGTTAGTAGATGGGGAGAGGGAGGTATTAGGTAGATGGCGAGAATATTTTGAGGAACTTTTAAATGTTGAGGAAGAAATGGAGGCAGTAATTTCATGCACTGGCCAGGGAGGTATACCATCTTTTAGGAGTGAAGAAGAGCAGAATGTAAGTGTGGTGGAGGTACGTGAGGCATTACGTAGAATGAAAGGGGGTAAAGCAGCTGGAACTGATGGGATCATGACAGTAATGTTAAAAGCAGGGGGGGATAGTGTTGGAGTGGTTGGTACTTTTATTTAATAAATGTATGAAAGAGGGGAAGGTACCTAGGGATTGGCAGAGAGCATGTATAGTCCCTTTATATAAAGGGAAAGGGGACAAAAGAGAATGTAAAAATTATAGAGGAATAAGTTTACTGAGTATACCAGGAAAAGTATACGGTAGGGTTATAATTGAAAGAATTAGAGGTAAGACAGAATGTAGGATTGCGGATGAGCAGGGAGGCTTCAGAGTGGGTAGGGGATGTGTAGATCAAGTGTTTACATTGAAGCATATATGTGAACAGTATTTAGATAAAGGTAGGGAAGTTTTATTGCATTTATGGATTTAGAAAAGGCATATGATAGTGGATAGAGGAGCAATGTGGCAGATGTTGCAAGTACAGTGGACCCCCGGTTAACGATATTTTTTCACTCCAGAAGTATGTTCAGGTGCCAGTACTGACCGAATTTGTTCCCATAAGGAATATTGTGAAGTAGATTAGTCCATTTCAGACCCCCAAACATACACGTACAAACGCACTTACATAAATACACTTACATAATTGGTCGCATTCGGAGGTAATCGTTATGCAGGGGTCCACTGTATATGGAATAGGTGGTAAGTTACTAAATGCTGTAAAGAGCTTTTATGAGGATAGTGAGGCTCAGGTTAGGGTGTGTAGAAGAGAGGGAGAATACTTCCCGGTAAAAGTAGGTCTTAGACAGGGATGTGTATGTCACCATGGTTGTTTAATATATTTATAGATGGGGTTGTAAAAGAAGTAAATGCTAGGGTGTTCGGGAGAGGGGTGGGATTAAATTATGAGGAATCAAATTCAAAATGGGAATTGACAGTTACTTTTTGCTGATGATACTGTGCTTATGGGAGATTCTAAAGAAAAATTACGAAGGCTAGTGGATGAGTTTGAGAATGTGTAAAGGTAGAAAGTTGAAAGTGAACATAGAAAAGAGTAAGGTGATGAGGGTATCAAATGATTTAGATAAAGAAAAATTGGATATCAAATTGGGGAGGAGGAGTATGGAAGAAGTGAATGTTTTCAGATACTTGGGAGTTGACGTGTCGGCGGATGGATTTATGAAGGATGAGGTTAATCATAGAATTGATGAGGGAAAAAAGGTGAGTGGTGCGTTGAGGTATATGTGGAGTCAAAAAACGTTATCTATGGAGGCAAAGAAGGGAATGTATGAAAGTATAGTAGTACCAACACTTATATGGATGTGAAGCTTGGGTGGTAAATGCAGCAGCGAGGAGACGGTTGGAGGCAGTGGAGATGTCCTGTCTAAGGGCAATGTGTGGTGTAAATATTATGCAGAAAATTCGGAGTGTGGAAATTAGGAGAATGTGTGGAGTTGATAAAAGCATTAGTCAGAGGGCAGAAGAGGGGTTGTTGAGGTGGTTTGGTCATTTAGAGAGAATGGATCAAAGTAGAATGACATGGAAAGCATATAAATCTATAGGGGAAGGAAGGAGGGGTAGGGGTCGTCCTCGAAAGAGGGGGTAAAGGAGGTTTTGTGGGTGAGGGGCTTGGATTTCCAGCAAGCGTGCATGAGCGTGTTAGATAGGAGTGAATGGAGACGAATGATACTTGGGACCTGACGATCTGTTGGAGTGTGAGCAGGGTAATATTTAGTGAAGGGATTCAGGGAAACCGGTTATTTTCATATAGTCGGACTTGAGTCCTGGAAATGGGAAGTACAATGCCTGCACTTTAAAGGAGGGGTTTGGGATATTGGCAGTTTGGAGGGGTATGTTGTGTATCTTTATACGTATATGCTTCTAAACTGTTGTATTCTGAGCACCTCTGCAAAAGCAGTGATAATGTGTGAGTGTGGTGAAAGTGTTGAATGATGATGAATGTATTTTCTTTTTGGGGATTTTTTCTTCTTTGGGTCACCCTGCCTTGGTGGGAGACGGCCGACTTGTTGAAAAAAAAAAAAAAAAAAATAATAATTGTAAGTGCCAGAATGTTTGTCACCATCACAGACCAAATACAATATGATTATCTCCACTTGGGCTATTTGTAAACCAGTTAGATGATTATACAGTAAAATGGGAGTTAACTTGCTGGTAAGCAAAATTAGTCTAGCTTTGTTTCATGAAGATCTTAATCTTAAGATTAACTAAAAACTTGGAACAATTCTTTGATCTGCTTAGTTATAAACACTAGTAGTGTTTTGTGAATGTAATAATACTTTACATACCATGCAGTAATTATTGCTGCTACAAAAGGCTAACCAATCTGTTTCGTCAATTGAAATCTCGGATTACAACTACTGTCGTTAGTCACTTTAATATATGCTGTAGTTCCATTAATACAAAGTGTAGTCCCTCATTTATCATTTCAAATCCACTTTCCTCCTCATATTTATCAGCAAAATTTACTAAAAAATATTCTCCCCCTAAAGTTTTGACATTTGTCTTGTGAAATTTAATTTTTGTTGCTTAGTTTCTTTTGCTAACATTGCCATTCTTGTGCCTTCTCCATGGAGTAGGCTCCCTCAAATGCTACCTTGTTAAAAAAAGAAAAATCCAATTTTGTTTCAGGTACTGTTAGATTTCTTGTTTATTATGTCTATATATTTCTGATTTTTTATAAGGTTTGGTTTTATCTGTGCTCTATTTTTTCTGATAAATCATTTGATTAATTGGTTCAGCAGTTACTCCATAGAGAAAAATGTATTTTCTGCCTCTCTTCTTGCATCATTTAAGTTCTTAGCACACTCTCTGTACACTTGTATTATTAGTTCTTGTGGTAGGGCTTATTTTAATGAAATATCCTTGTACTTTTGTTTAATAAATGTATGAAAGAGGGGAAGGTACCTAGGGATTGGCGGAGAGCATGTATAGTCCCTTTATATAAAGGGAAAGGGGACAAAAGAGACTGTAAAAATTATAGAGGAATAAGTTTACTGAGTATACCAGGAAAAGTGTACGGTAGGGTTATAATTGAAAGAATTAGAGGTAAGACAGAATGTAGGATTGCGGATGAGCAAGGAGTTTTCCGAGTGGGTAGGGGATGTGTAGATCAAGTGTTTACATTGAAGCATATATGTGAACAGTATTTAGATAAAGGTAGGGAAGTTTTTATTGCATTTATGGATTTAGAAAAGGCATATGATAGTGGATAGAGGAGCAATGTGGCAGATGTTGCAAGTACATGTATATGGAATAGGTGGTAAGTTATTAAATGCTGTAAAGAGTTTTTATGAGGATAGTGAGGCTCAGGTTAGGGTGTGTAGAAGAGAGGGAGACTACTTCCCAGTAAAAGTAGGTCTTAGACAGGGATGTGTAATGTCACCATGGTTGTTTAATATATTTATAGATGGGGTTGTAAAGGAAGTAAATGCTAGGGTGTTCTGGAGAGGGGTGGGATTAAATTTTGGGGAATCGAATTCAAAATGAGAATTGACAGTTAATTTTTGCTGATGATACTGTGCTTATGGGAGATTCTAAAGAAAAATTGCAAAGGTTAGTGGATGAGTTTGGGAATGTGTGTAAAGGTAGAAAGTTGAAAGTGAACATAGAAAAGAGTAAGGTGATGAGGGTATCAAATGATTTAGATAAAGAAAAATTGGATATCAAATTGGGGAGGAGTAGTATGGAAGAAGTGAATGTTTTCAGATACTTGGGAGTTGACGTGTTGGCGGATGGATTTATGAAGGATGAGGTTAATCATAGAATTGATGAGGGAAAAAAAGGTGAGTGGTGCGTTGAGGTATATGTGGAGTCAAAAAACATTATCTATGGAGGCAAAGAAGGGAATGTATGAAAGTATAGTAGTACCAACACTCTTGTATGGGTGTGAAGCTTGGATGGTAAATGCAGCAGCGAGGAGACGGTTGGAGGCAGTGGAGATGTCCTGTTTAAGGGCAATGTGTGGTGTAAATATTATGCAGAAAATTCGGAGTGTGGAAATTAGGAAAAGGTGTGGAGTTAATAAAAGTATTAGTCAGAGGGCAGAAGAGGGGTTGTTGAGGTGGTTTGGTCATTTAGAGAGAATGGATCAAAGTAGAATGACATGGAAAGCATATAAATCTATAGGGGAAGGAAGGCGGGGTAGGGGTCGTCCTCGAAAGGGTTGGAGAGAGGGGGTAAAGGAGGTTTTGTGGGCAAGGGGCTTGGACTTCCAGCAAGCGTGCGTGAGCGTGTTAGATAGGAGTGAATGGAGACGAATGGTACTTGGGACCTGACGATCTGTTGGAGTGTGAGCAGGGTAATATTTAGTGAAGGGATTCAGGGAAACCGGTTATTTTCATATAGTCGGACTTGAGTCCTGGAAATGGGAAGTACAATGCCTGCACTTTAAAGGAGGGGTTTGGGATATTGGCAGTTTGGAGGGATATGTTGTGTATCTTTATATGTATATGCTTCTAAACTGTTGTATTCTGAGCACCTCTGCAAAAAGTGATAATGTGTGAGTGTGGTGAAAGTGTTGAATGATGATGAAAGTATTTTCTTTTTGGGGATTTTCTTTCTTTTTTGGGTCACCCTGCCTCGGTGGGAGACAGCCGACTTGTTGAAAAAAAAAAAAAATCCTTGTAACCTCTTAACCCTTTCAAGGGCATTACAATTTATGGCACATAAACTTCCAGGATCATTGGTATGATCTATATTGGTTTTTGTTAATGCTTTGATCTCAACAGTTAAGATTAAAGTAAACTGCATACTTTATTCATTAAGGAATGCAGTACCTCACTCTAACTTTCTATAAGGCCTTAGTTTATATACACTGAGGAAAGTGTCTTTTAAATCTAGTTTGTGCTAGGTCATTTGTAGTGGATTTGATTTTGCCCAGAGCATGTCAGCTTGAAACATCTGTGCAAATCGGATGACCTTTTGGAGAAATCATGGATAGACCTGTTGTGATTGTAACACATGCATTTAATTTTGCTTGTAAATTTGGAAATGATGAGTTCTACACCAGAGAACTAACAAAGCACTCTAGTTTAGTTTTATATTTTGAAAATGTTAGTGTTTTTTTTTTTTTTCTTTTTATTAATGGATTTAGGAATTTAAAGCACCACCAAAACAGCAGACCATAAGATAAGAGTTTGTTTGGATTTTTAACCCTGGAGGGTTAGCCACCCAGGATAACCCAAGAAAGGCAGTGCATCATCAAGGGACTGTCCATCTTACTCCACTGGGGTCCTCAATCTTGTCCCCAAGGATGCGACCCACACCAGTCAACACCCAGGTACCTACTTGCTAGGTGAACCAGACAACAGGTGTAAGTAAACATGCCCAGGGTTTCTATCCTTTCCAGAGATTGAACCACAGACACTCAGCATGTGAAGCGAGAATGTTGCCTACCTGGCCACGGACTATTGCTTTTTTTTTTTTTTAAATATTGTTAACTTTTTACTTTCAATCAGTTAGTTAAATCAGCACTAAAATTGGTGGCTACCAATGCATAACTAACACCAATATTTTATTATATTTTCCTAATCAGGCAAGTGATCTTGAAGATGCAGCTGTGCTAGCAAAGAGAGAGCTTCGATGGACACTCGTCAGAACAATGTCTACAACCGAAGAGGATGACAATGGAAACAATGCTACATAGATGGTTGTGAAGTCTGTCACATTTACTAGTTACTTGTATAAGATACTTTTAAGCTGTGTAGAAAAAACTTTACAATGACAGTATGTATGATGTATATAAATATTTTCTTCCTTGGAGATAGTTATTGGTTAGTTTCCTCAAGGAAGGTGCCTTGATGCCAGTGAGCTCTTGATCCAAGGAATTGGATCTATCATTGCCTCCCATTTCCCTAGGCACTGTATGACCCCCTACTGGTGTAGTGCCACTTCCCTTTTCCCTAGTGAATGTAATATTGGTTTGTTGGAATGACAAACCTCCTGTAGCTAGCATTAAAATGTAACTAAAACACAAATTAGCTGATGCCATCTTATCTGGTATACCATTATCAGTATGTTTAAAAAAAAACTAAGTTAAATTAAATACAAATGAAGGAAGGTGGAGATGGTCTATTTCTGCTTAAGTTAAAAGGGGAAGTAAAAAAAAAGTTTAAGCACTGCTTATGACCCCCTTCGGGTTTAGCGCTTGTTTGATAATTTTAAGTATGCACTTAATACAGTATTATATTCACATATATTGCTAATTATTATTATAATCAAAAAGAAGCGCTAAGCCACAAGGGCTATACATCACACATATTGCTAAACCTGTTGGGGTTATTCAGCATTATGTACTAGAAGCTGTATAGTCCTTGTGGCTTAGCGCTTCTTTTTGATTATAATAATAATAATATGTACTAGAAAAAGTATGCCTAATTATTGTATTATATATTGGTTGACAATGTAGCTTTCAGATATTGTCTAAACTTGTCAGTAGGTGATCGTTTTCAAAATTCCATAGCATCAGTAGTCATTTCTCAACATAAAGCAAGCTCATTTCCCCCTCTATATAGCTGGAGCTTTGCTGGCCAAATTTTTAAAACTGAACAGTAGTCATTTATATACTTTGCTTTCCTATTTTAAATAAGTGATTTATTGTTTATATATAAATAGCTAAATGCATGTGGGTTATTCAGCACTTGAAGTCATGTGTAACCATAAAGTTCTAAACCTTAAAGCAGAATTTTGTACTTCAGTTAGAGTACAGTGAATGTTTAAACCAACAGTGGTTCTGTGGTAAGGTTACTGCAATGTATTAGCAGCAGAGATCTTAATACTTTAGTTAGATTGCATGAATACATATCCACCTATCCTTCATTTTCTTGTATATTATAAAGCTGTGCCTTCTGAACTTGAAGTTCAGCTCAGACAAGGATAGAATGTCCAAATACCAAATCAAGCTAGTGCTGTGTGTTAACAGAGAACTTATTTTTCTATTTTTTTGTTTTAATGCAAATTTTACCAGTCTAGATAGGTAGCCTGTTATCAAAGTCTGGCTTTCCAGATGGTAAAGAAAACTGTGCCCAGCATATACATGTCTAGTTACTCAGGTTTATAAGCTATGCATGCTAAAACATGGTGCCCCATTTATTACAAATGAATGTCAAATTAGTGTTTTACTTCCTATTTTGAATTACCTTTGTAGTTACTGTAATAGTTACTTGTGGTGTCTTTTATTTAGTTGCATAATTTCTTTATTCCAATGGTGGTAGCATTTAGTACCACCTTGAACCCCTATTCCAGAATTCTACCACTGTATAGGACAAGTCAGGCAACCTAACATTTAGATGGATCATTCTCCACAAAAACTTCTGTCAAGCCAGGTGTCCCATTCTCAAAAAAAAAAAAAAAAAAAAAACTGATAAAGCTTTTACCGAGTAAAACATTAATGAACCCTTGCTCTAAGTGTGTGATTTACTACAGGCTGGCTTACTGCCTATCTTTCAAACAACAAATTATAACAGTCAAATAAGACATCACTGTATTGTATATATACAATACAGTGATGTCTGTCTAATGGCTTCTACAGTTGCTATTTCAATATTACTTACAAAAAATAAATTTGTCCATATATCTGCATTAATCCTTTAAACTGGTGAAGACCCTGAAATTAAATGTCCCTTCTGTGTTGAAATTTTTGAAAAAAAAAAAAAAAAAAAGAAATTAGTCCAATACATGTACTCAAAATTATAAAGGCAATTTTACACAAACTTTGGATAGCTTGTGGCACACTATCAGACTGTGCACCTACATATTTATGCTTTATACGCCAAATTTGTCTATCGCGATTTGAAATCATAACAATTGCAAGCAAACCACAAGAGGTAAGGTTTGAACCCAGGGCAAGTAAGCCCTAAAATTCACAAGCCAGTGCTAGCCACTCAGCCAGTTGGCTCTAACAAGATTCATCCAACTACATATATTTCTATACACCATAAGGATGTTAGCATGCTCACTCTATGGTGTACAGAAATGTATCTAGTTGGATGAATCTTCGAGCCAGCTCCTCTTCAAGGGGGGCTCCTTGGCGTGGTGAAGAGGCTCTTGGTCTGAGGAATTAGACCTGTCGGTCTCCTTCCTCAGATCGAACCTAATTACCCCCCAATCCCCCGTTCCCTATCCCATCCTCCCCCTTTTTCCTTTCCTCCTCCTCCCCCTTTTTCCTTTCCTCCTCCTCCTCCTCCCCACCCATCCCTTTTGCCCTTCCCTTTTGGCCTTTGGGATTTTTTTTTTTCCCACAGGCACGCTAGTTCCTAGGTAGGGGAAAGGGTACTGGGGTCCATCCCATTCCGTTGAGGTCCTTGGCGGTGGCGTAGTTTGCCGTGGAATCTGGATTGCCTGGGGATGTCCTGATCCCTCTCTGGTATCCCGGAGGCTGGCTTTGGCTGTCTCTCGGGCGACGGGTGTATCTCTGGAAGCCACCTTTCGGATTCCGGGGGTGGTGGCCGAAGGAGGTATGCTTTGTGGCAGATTTCCGGCCGCCCTCTCTTTTGTCCACCGAGGTAGCTCGGCAGATGTGAGGTTGCTATCCCGGAGTGCCGGTTTACTGGCATGATGCGTAGGGTATGGCACGGGTTCCATGCTGCATCTGCGCTACTTGCAGTGCTGAGGTCCTCTTAGGCGCGGAGGGAGATTTCTGGCCCTTTCATTCCTCCTAGGAACTATCCCTCCCCGGTCCCCCGTTTTTTTTTTTTTTTTTTTTTTATTTTATTTTCTTTCTTTTTTTTTCTTAAAAACAAAAAGAAAGAAGTAACCTAACCATGGCAGCCCTAGTCCATGAACCTACTACCTCCAGGCCCCTTCTTGATACCGCACCCCGTTCTGACCCCGCCTCGTCTTTGGACCACTCTTCGGACACTACTCATGCCTCTGTACCTCTTGCCGGTGCTGTTTCCTCACCCGCTTCAGGTACTGAGGCCTCGACTGACTCCTTCGATTTATCTGACCTTCGCTCTCCTCTGACTATGCTTCCGGCCTCTCCCTCTACGGTGCGGCAATTTTCGAACCGCCGGCCCGTTCCACGTCGGACCAACTCTGGTCCCACGCCTAAACGCCAACGACAATTACCTGCTGATGATATTTCTCCACCTTCTCGTTCTTCTCAGAAAAGATCGACACGTCCTTCACTACCTTTCCACGTTCAGTTTCAGACTGCACAATGGACTAAATTCTTCACTTTACGACCGACTTCCTCTACTGCCTATCTTTCTGACCACAGTATTGGCAAGGCACTCCTACGCCATGTTGGTAAAGATATTTCTTTTCATGCTCTTAAGAGCGGTAGGTGCATCATCACCGTACAGAATGCTACCCAGGCTCATGAGCTTTCTCGTCTTTCCGATATCGATACTGTTCCTGTCACTATTGAAAAGCATCATTCCCTCAATTCTTGTGGTGGTACCGTCATTCTGCCCCATACCATAGTTCAACAAAATTTCCAGACATGTGGCACTGACATTCTTGAACAGCTGGAACTCCAAGATCTCCCAATCCTCAAGGTAGACACTTACGTTCTTCCTGCCCGCGGGCGGAGACGATACCCTAGCAATGTGGCTCGTTTAACTTTTGACAGCCGTGAACTCCCATCCTCAGTTTATGTAGCAGGACATAGGTTACAAGTTCGAAAGGTGATCCCTACATCGCAACAGTGTAGAAATTGCTGGCGATTTGGCCATCCAGCGAAATATTGCAGATCTATCGCCGAATGCCCAGTCTGTGGTGCCGATGACCATTCTAATACGTCTTGCAATCGACCTCCCTCTTGCCTTAATTGTCATGAGGCTCACCCTTCGTACTCTCGCCGTTGTCAAGTCTACTTAAACGAGCGGGAAATCCGTTACCTCAAAGAGGCAGAAGGTCCCCCTTATGCCATGGCAGTTTCTGATCTCCGCCTTCAAGGGAGACTACCTCGTGTTTCTTATTCCCGTGTTTCAAAACGTCCCCCCACTTCTGGTATCCCATCTTCTGCACCCACCTCTGTGGTTACCTCTCCCATAGTCACTCCTGTATCTAATTCTTTTGCTGTCCTTGGCTCAAACGTCCCTACTTCAACGCCTCAGTCTGATCTCGCTTCTTCGTGTTCTCTCTCACAAGCCTCAGTAGCGACGAGATCTCGTATGACACCTCCTCCCAATCGTCCCTCTACTTCTCAAAAGTCAAAAAAAAGTCCGTTAACACCTCCTACCCATCTTCCACCTTCTCATTTTACCTTCCCTGTCTCTGTACCTGGTTCTCCCCCTCTCACTGGCTCTGTTACAAGTGTAGAGGTTCACCCTCCTCGTACTGTACCTTCCTCCCCTGTTCCCTCCCAAGTTTCTTCCTCTTCTGCCACCTCCCAGGTTTCTGCCTCTGTCCCCTTCCACGCTTCTCCAGTTCCCTCCACCCTTTCGCCCCCCCCCCTACCTTGGTACAGTCCAATACAGTTCCAATCTTTACTCATCCTCCCACTACCATTTCCAATACATGTATTGTCTCCCATACGATGTCTCTGAATTCCGAAACACTTGAAGCAATCTCTGAATATATTGCAGAGACCAAACCATCAATGGACACTGATCCACCCTCCGCTCCTCTCTCCTCTGCTCCGTCTGCGCAACTCCTTTCTTCACAGCGCACCGTTCCTTCACTGCTTGAACGTTTTCCACTGCCTCTGCATGTGGACTTTTCTAACCCCTCTAGTCCGTAGGAACCCTTACCTGCGGATTTCAGGTATCTTTATCATTGCCAATCATGGCCTATTTACAGTGGAATATACGCGGCCTCAGGGGTAATTGGGGTGAGCTTCAGATGTTACTCTCCCAGTTTTCCCCTGTTGGTGTTTGCTTACAGGAACCAAAATTACACTCTGCTGTAATCTCTCCCATCTCAGGCTATAATTTATTGTATTCTTCAGATCCTTTTCCTGATGGGACCTTTAATGAAAGTGCCCTTCTTCTACGCACTGATATTCCGTACCATCAGCTATTTGTTCGTACTTCGCTGCATTACACAGCAGCCCGTATCCACTTGCATAGGTGGTATACGCTCTGTTCTTTATATCTCTCTCCTTCTCGGGCATTATCTATTCCGGATATTGCCTTTCTTGTTTCGTCATTACCGCCACCGATTCTGTTACTTGGTGATTTTAATGCCCACCATTTCCTCGGGGGGGGGGGGGGTCTCACTGTGATTCCCGTGGCATTCAGTTAAAGGTTTTTCTTGCCACCCACCCCCTCCATGTTTTAAATACAGGTACTCGCATCCATTTTGATCCTCACTCGCACTCTCTCTTGCATCGATTTCTCAGTCTGCTCTTCCTCCGCCACATTAGACTTCACTTGGTCTGTTCTCCCGGACTTACATGACAGCGATCATTTCCCAATCATTCTTACTTCCCCTTCATATTCACCACCTCTTCGCATCCCACGCTGGCAATTCGATCAGGCAAACTGAAACCTTAACTCACACCTAACTGTTTTTAGAGAGGTTCCTTCTTTGTCCTCCATCGATGAGCTTTTACACCTCTTCTCATCCTCCGTTTTAACCTCAGCTTCTCATTCTATACCCCAAACTTCGGGCAGGCATTCTCAGAAATGCGTGCCTTGGTGGTCTCCTGTTTGTGCTCGTGCAGTACGTTTGAAACGCACTGCATGGGACAGGTACCGGTACAATAGAACCACAGAGAGACTTCTTGATTTTAAGCAGAAGCGTGCGATCGCTCGCCGTGTCATCCGTGACGCTAAACGCACTTGCTGGCGAGATTGTCTCCACCATCACCTCTGCTTCCTCTGAGTGCAGTCTGGAAAAAAGTACGAAAACTGAGTGGTAAATATTCTCCTGACCCGGCTCCTGTTCTGCGGGTTGCCGGTGTTGATATAGCAAACCCACTAGATGTTGCCAATGAAATTGGCAATCACCTGGTCCGTATTTCTCAGGGACTCCATCTATGCCCCTCATTTCTTTCCTCAAAGTCTGCCAGAGAGTTAGCACCCTTGGACTTTTCTTCTCTGAGAAGAACAGTATAATGTGCCTTTTACACTTCAAGAACTGGAGGCAACACTCTCAGCTTGCCGATCATCGGCAGCTGGGCCCGACAACATTCATATTCGTATGCTACATTTACATCAGTCAGCCCTTGCAGTCCTATTACGCCTTTACAATCTTATTTGGTCACAAGGAGTTCTTTCCACAGCAGTGGAAATCCGCCATTGTTCTCCCTTTCCGCAAACCAGGCACTACGGGACATGAAGCCTCCCACTATCGTCCCATTGCTTTTACCAGTGCAGTTTGCAAAGTGATGGAACGCCTAGTAAATAGACGTTTAGTGTGGTATTTAGAGAGAACAGTCTCTCCACTCATCAATATGGCTTTCGTAAGGGACGTTCTACCGTAGACCCCTTACTACGCTTGGATACGTATGTTCGTAATGCCTTTGCGAATAACCACTCAGTTATTGCCATATTTTTTGACCTTGAGAAGGCATATGACACAACTTGGAGGTATAATATTTTAGCCCAAGCCTACTCCTTAGGCCTTCGAGGCAATCTACCATCCTTCCTTAAGAACTTTTTAACTGACAGGCATTTCCGTGTTCGGGTTAATAATGTGCTCTCCCCGGACTTTATCCAAGCTGAAGGTGTCCCCCAGGGATGTGTTCTGAGCACAACACTTTCTCCTTGCTATTAATGATTTGGCCTCTAGTCTTCCATCAAATATTTGGTCATCACACTGTTGATGACTTTGCTATTGCCTGTGCAGGCACTGACTGTCACCTCATTACAGTTTCTCTCCAGCATGCAGTCGACCGTGTTTCCAATTGGGCCACCACACATGGGTTTAAATTTTCCAGCACTAAAACCCACCAAATTACTTTCACTAGATGCTCTGTCATCTTGGATCATCCTTTGTACCTCTATGGCTCCCGTATCCCTGAACGTGATAGTCAAGTTTCTGGGCCTCCTCTTTGACCGTAGGTTATCCTGGAAACCTCACATTACCTCTCTGAAGGCAACTTGTCACAGCCGGCTGAACCTTCTTAAAACCCTTGCTCATCTTTCATGGGGAGCTGAGCGTCGAACTCTCCTTCGCCTACATTCCACCCTCATTTTATCGAAACTTGATTATGGTGACCAGATCTATTCAGCGGCATCTCCTGCTACTCTCTCTAGCCTTTACCCCATTCATCACCAAGGATTACATTTATGCCTTGGTGCTTTTCGCTCTTCCCCTGTCGAGAGCCTCTATGCAGAAGCGAACATTCCATCCTTATCCGATCGCCGTGATGCCCATTGCCTTCGCTACTTTGTACGCTCTCATGATCTCCGCAATCCTTCCATTTATAGAATGGTCACTAATATTAGTAGACATTATTTGTTCGCCGCCCCTGTTTACTCCGTCCCTTCTCTATTCGCCTTCATTCGCTCTTGTCTTCTCTTCAATTACCACCTTCCATGTTAATGTAGCATCTCGCTTTTCTCTACCCCCCTGGGAAGTTCCAGCTGTTCGAGTCTGTTCTTTCTCTCTCCCTTGCTCGAAAGCCCAACTGTCTACGGTCGCGTCCCGCTCTTTTTCTTGACTACTATCACTCTCATTCTCATGCCATTGCTGTGTACACAGATGGCTCTAAGTCTTCTGACTGCGTAGGATTCGCAGCAGTGTTTCAGGACAGTGTCGTACGAGGGCATTTACTATCTTCGGCTAGTATTTTTACTGCTAAATTGTATGCCATCCTTGCAGCACTTATCCGTATTGCATCTATGCATGTCATCATCATTTGTGGTTGTCTCAGACTCCCTTAGTGCTTTACAGGCTATACAGAAATTTGATACACCTCACCCCTTAGTCCTCCGTATCCAACTTTGGCTACGCTGCATCTTTACCAAGCATAAAGATATTGTTTTTTGTTGGGTCCCTGGTCATGTTGACGTACAGGCAGACACTGCTGCGCGGTCAGCAGTACATGACCTACCAGTTTCATATAGAGGTATTCCATTTACGGACTATTTTGCTGCAATATCTTCCCACCTTCACACCCGTTGGCAACAACGTTGGTCTACTATGCTCAGCAACAAACTTCAATCTATTAAACCGAGTATAGGTTACTGGCCGTCTTCTTATCACCAGTGCCGAGGTTGGGAGACTACTCTCTCCCGTCTTCGCATTGGCCATACTCGTCTTGCTCATGGATATCTCATGGAAAGGAGCCCTGCCCCTCTCTGTGAGAATTGCCAAGCTCCATTATCAGTCAGCCACATTCTGTTGGACTGCGCACTCTATCAATGAGCACGCAGAATTTACCTCCGTCGTCGTCTTCGCTCCGCTGCTCTCTCTTTACCTTCCCTTCTCGCTGATGGACCCACCTTTCATCCAGACTCTCTCGTTGACTTTTTGACAACGACTGACTTACTTCACAAATTCTGATACCTTCAGCCCTTTCTACTTCAATCTCTTGCTACCCTCTACCCCCGTACTATCCCCTGCCCCGCTGTTTTCTGTAACCTACTGATCATCCCTCCTCCCTTCTGCCATCCAATACCCTCGCTTCCTTCCCTACCCTGTATAGCCCTTGTGGCTTAGCGCTTTTGATTATAATAATAATAATACACTTTGTTCAATTTTAACTGCTATTCCCAGATTCACCATGTATAATGCAGGAATCTAACATTTGACCTACATAAGCAACACTTAAAAAAGAAGCACTAAAGTGCAGGTGTTATCATAATTAACACCTGCACAAATAATTTAAATTTTGTTAATATACTTAGTTGTGGAGATGGGGAAAAGAGTAACCATTACTTGAAACAATCTCTCCCAATATGATTGTTGTGGATACAATGCACAAACTTAAAAAAAAAAAATTGTATTTATTATAAATACTGTACAGTATACATTTACTTTATATATTTGACTGGTATAATACAGCACTTAAATTTAAAAAAAATCCAAAACATTCTTTGAGTACTTCACTGGTATAATGCTCTAAAATTTGGAGGAAAAAAATTTATGGACTGGATTTTATAAACAATTGTTTAGCTACCATAAGTAATCAACTTGTCACATTCAGCCCAAGTAATGAATCATAAATACAAGTTTATAAACACTAATCTGAAAGAACATGACAAACATAATATTAAAAATTTTAGCCATAATTTTTTAAAATGTTACAGTAAACCCTCAATTTAACAAACTTTGGAAATGCCGAGTCAAAGGATTTCACTGGCTACATAACTGTTCTATTCTGATCACAGCAAAACACACTTCTCTATCCACCTGCCACCTGGTCGTACTCCACAGGTCCGTAGATTCAAAGGTGTGTGTACCACTGTCTGGAGACTATGCTTAGCCTCCAGAAACTTATTTGTTTTTTTGTTTTACAGTATCTATTTTAGCTTTTCTATTCTTGCAAAATTTCTTAAAATTTAAAAATATTTTTTTTTTAGTCGTGATATAAATTATTATTGCTGCACAACTAAATGGTAAATTTTTGCTAGATTCTCAAGGTACTGCACACACAGCCAAAGGAAACCAATAATTTTTATATGGGAAGATAGGGCACTAGACTATACATTTTCATTGGCTCAATATAAAATTTCAATTACATTAGATAATTTGAAAGAACTGCAATGTCCTCTTCCATATATTCTACAGATGTAAGAATCCCCTCAAGGTAGGCTATCTGATGCTAGTGAGGGAGGGCTCTTAATCCAAGGAATTGGATTAAGAGTCCCTAAATATAATAAAACAGGTAAAAATTTGTTTGACCTGTAATTTATACTTTCTAAATTGAAGACATCTCCACGTCTTATTACCAGCCTGGAGTTGTATTCGCCAATCGCCGCATTCTCCTGCAAATATCATTCACATCAGATTGTGTGTACAGTATTTGTATAAAACAGGAACCTAACAAATACAGCCTGAAAGCCAAATTCTCATTATATATTAAGATAAACTAGCATTTCTTCATTGCTGTTGTTGCATTTATGGCTTTATGTAAAGGCATTTGGGGGATGGGGGGGGGGCACAAGCTTTCAAGAATAACAAAATTCCAAATTTTTATTAATTCTTATATTTTAACACATTGACCATTTTCCCACACGATAGGGAGACAAAAACAACTGGAAATCGTATATTATTAAAAATGAATTAAAAGGATAACATATGATAAATACTGGGAGCAAGGGGGCTAGTAACCCCTTCTGCAATATAAATTACTAAATGTATAAAGAAAAACTTTTGTTTCTTCTTTTTCGGGTCACCCTGCCTTGGTGGGAGATGGCCATTGTGTTAAAAAAAAAATCACTAACCTGGTGTTTCTGTCTTGGTCCCTGATCTTCTTCTCCATCTCAGCATCTGTGAGAGTCTCAAGAAATGGTGACCACTGTTCTGCTTCACTCTGTGACCGGAAGGGAACTTCCACACAAGGAAGGGGTGACTCACTGTTTAGAAAAATAATTATTATTTTTCCCTCTTTTTGTCTCCTATTTTCTTGTGAGAATTTGTAATGACAAAGTTATAACTGACTAAACACCTCATGCTTAATCCATTCCAGAAGGTCGGTTGAAATCCAAAATGGACGAAAACCGAAGTAATATTTCCCATGAGAAATAATGTAAATCCAATTAATCCATTCCAGACACCCAAAAATATTAACAAAAAATAATTTTATGAAGAATAACTATAGTTTTACATACAGAAAACAATGAGAAATAAATACAACTAATTTTAAATAACAAAAAAGGCACAATACCATGACTGGACCCATACACAAATAACCCGCACATAGGAGAAAGAAGCTTATGACGTTTCGGTCCGACTTGAACCATTTACAAAGTCACACTGTTTGACTTTGTAAATGGTCCAAGTCGGACCGAAACGTAGTCGTAAGCTCTCTCCTATGTGCGGGTTATTTGTGTATGACTAATTTTAATGGATAAATGAACATTTAAGTCACTTTCACCTTTACTGAAGAGACTTACTGGTGTATGGCAGATGGAGAGGGAGGAGAGGTTGTTTGGAGGGGAAATGCCCCTCCATAAGGACTTCAGGTATCAAAGCCCTATCCGGGGTTACTTCCCTGCTTTGTCTTTCACTGGCACTGGGACCAGCTTGAGTCACTGGACCATGCAGATACAGCGTGCAACAGCTTTGTTAGGGTGATATTGCTACACAATATTTAATGCGGCCCAAAGCCATATTACAATCGATATACATGCCATTTTCACCGAGTTTAATCATTTCTAACAACCTTTAGATGCCATTATAAACAAAGGAGAAGTAATAATTCATGCCAAGAAGTGTAAACAAAAGAGTCATGTATTAAGGGCGATGACTGGGCCAACACAGATTCATGCACGTTTTCTCTGATGCTGGACCAGAGAAAACGTAATGTTTTCCCTCTGCCTGGCTAGCACACCTCCATAGCAAATAAACATTGCATGTTTATATGCTATGTAACGTGTTTCTTATATAATTTTGAAGAAAATATCATAGATGGATTAAAGAAAATGTCTATACAGGTCTCCCTCAACATTCGCGAGGGTTAGGGGATCAAGAGCCTCGCGAATGTTGAAAAATCGCGAATGTTTGGTGCCCCAATATTTTGAAGGGAAATATAATATACTGCTTCCTTCCTATTGAACCGTGAACAATCATGAAACACATGAAAACATCGTAAAATATAGTACTAGTGCCAGCCCTTTGGTAAAGGTGAAAAAGACTATAGAATTCAAGAAAGAAGTGGAGAAGGAAGAGAGAGGGGAGAATGTGCCTTCTTCATTGATTCTACGATATGAACGATACTAAAGCAGCACAAGTCAATAAAGGCTATAGCGCCAGCGAGCAATAAAGCGTAGCATTAACAGTGTAGCAAGTGAGTTAAGCAATTAATTGATAGAAAAAGGACAGCACGAACGTAACTCTTATGTTGTTGGAGTTATATAGGGTGACTGACAATACCGCTGTCTCTACCACCTGTGCTGCCACCATCACCACCACTATGTAAGGTTTATGTTTTGAGTGGCCCTTATACACCCAACAACACTTGTGACATACGTAATGACATATTTCATTCATTCTAGAGAACATGTAATGTTTCTATGTTATTAATACTGTTTATGTCATATTAGATGAATTTTGATAGATAAATAAGCTGTAGAGTTGATATTAGTGTCATACTGAAGGACTATCTTGTCCTATCTCCAAACAAACTCTGCCACCGCCACAATTCCTAACATACGTAATGACGTATTTTAAATACGACTGGGCAGCTGGGAATTCGCGTATGTTTGAAGCCCGTGAAAGTGGAAAACGCGAATGTTAAGGGAAACCTGTATTAACCTAAAATCAGGCATTTAATGTGCCCAAAAGTGATTATTATTAGTATTATTACTATGGCATAAAGACTAGAGGGACACTCTTAGTGAACAAGTAACAAAGACATGTTTATATGCTATGTAATGTGTTTCTTATATAATTTTGAAGAAAATATCATAGATGGATTAATGAAAAATGTCTATATTAACCTAAAATAAGACATTTAATGTGCCCAAGGGTGATTATTATTATGTACACCTACCATCCGACTTACGACCGAGTTTGGTTCCGAGAAACCGGTCGTAAGTCGAAATGGTCGTAAGTCGAACTTTACTACTGAATATCAACAAAACATTTTTGTAATGACTTTATTTTATTGTTTTATTTTGGTATTTCATGTTTTACTTTACTTTTTATGTTGTTAGTGCTGAATTTTATACTGTAAGGTTTAGGATAAACACTGTGTACAACACAAATAGTTGTTATTTCCCAGAAATTTGGCATAAAAAACACAGTCGTAAGTCGAGCAGGTCGTAAATCGGATGGTAGGTGTATTAGTATCACGAACATATGAGCGACCCAGGCGGACGCGTCTGGTACGGACGATTTCTGAGTGGAGGTATGAAACCCGTGATAAAATTTCGCCCAAAAGAGTGGTCAAAATCCAAATTGTACGATACCCGCACTGGATGAAATCTGGGGGTCCACTGTACTTAGGATTGCCATCCATTTGTATTAATTTGTAAGTTGGCTAGGAAACTCCCCAAACTTGAACCCCCATTGAGAATCTCTGGTCCGTGATAGAGGGATCTACTAAGGGAAAAGATATCAACCCACTCCTAAGGCTTGAGGTCACCATCCATGAGTCATGGGGGAATTTATGCCTTGAAACCCTGAAGAATGTGTTAATCACTTACTAGATGGCTGAAGGATGCCCCAAAGCATTTGAGACAATCTATTTTGTGGTTGTAGTTTGAAAGGGCTAGTATACTTTAAATGACAAGTACTGTATATACCCTAAAAGTCATCCTATTTTGTCCCATTCTATGTCCAAAGCACCTCAGCCCTCTGAATTATACATACCTCCAACCTTCTCACTGCAATGTTTAGAGAACATGCTTCATTCCATGATGGTACCATTATGCTCTTGTGCATTCTTCCTTTTCCTGCCTTATATCCCCCCTCACCTATCCTAGAGTTCACCTTATCTTTCATAGACCTATCTGCCTATAATTCTACTCCCAAATATCTAAATACACTGATACTGGATTGTAGCTAAAATCATGAGGATCTGCTAAAATATTTGTCGCAAAATAAATCCCATCAACACCAAAGAATTCTGTTGTGGCAATTAATTTCCTAACCTTGTAGAATAACCTATTTCAAGCCAGAAAATGGCTAAGTGTACAAACCTGAAAGCATATGTACGCTGGTGCCAGAAGAGCTGTCCTCTAACAGAATATGCAATTGCTGTTACAAATTCACCCCCAAGACCAAGCTCAGAACATAACTTGGTGGCAAAATCTTCTGGTGTGTTTTCAGGTGATGCCATATCCCATTCAAACTGGTCATTGAGAGAAATATTGCCAACGTGGATATTCAGCTGCAACAAGACAATATGAAATTAATGAAATCATTCTTATAACTACTATTTTTTTTTTTTTGTTTTTAACAAGTCGGCCATCTCCCACCGAGGCAGGGTGACAAAAGAAGAAAGAAAATAACTTCATCATCATTCAACTTTCACCTCACTCACACATAATCACTGTTTTTGCAGAGGTGCCCAGAATACAACAGTTTAGAATCATATATGTATAAAGATACACAACATATCCCTCCTTATTCCTTCCTTGAAAGGCTGATCTATTATATAATCTTATCCATACATTGCAAATATAATATGTTTAAAGTTTATAAATTTATGCAATATTCTAGGGCCCCCAACTTACAACAGTCTACTTGTGTTTTGCATGAATGGCACTGGCACTTTGGAACAATTAATTACTTATGAACCATGATTTGCATTTACAATCATTGCAAATATTCAAACAAATTCTTTTCAATAATTTTTTCTCACACTTATCAGATGCATTAATACTTTGTGTGTGCTCATTTTACATATGTATAGAGAGCAATTTTACTCTCCACTACTTTTCCACACTACATTTCCCTCTCTGCAATAGTTCAGCAACTGCCCACCCCTACTGCACTGTACTGTATACTGTATTGTTGCTTTTGTTAACATGAATACATTATTTAAATTATTAATACTATCTGTAATTGAAAAAGGAATAGTACTGAATGTAAAATACTGTACTGTTAAAAATATTCATAGTTAAAAATTAAACAAAATTAGATACAGTACATTATGGCTCGGGAAACCACTTCTGATTATAATATGGGAGAACAGGCTCTGAGTCCTGAACAATCTACTTACGAACAATTTTCAGGAATGCATTAACATCCTGAGTTGGGGCCCTACTGTAAATCTGAATTTCATAAAAAAAAATATATGTACCCTTTCAAAACTTGAAAATCAAAAGAAACATCAAAATATTTCACAATAATGTAATTTCCAGTTTACCAAAAGATTCTTACCTTTACTACTATTCTTGTGTCTGAATGTTCTGATATGAGATTCTGCGAGGGATACTGATCAATCTGCTGCTTAATAGCAGTGGAAATTGCTGGGACAAACATAAGAGGATTCAAATCTAGATCATCACAGAGAAGTTCTGCAAACTGTTCTGGGCTCACAAGCATCTCTGAAAAAAGAAAACGAAGTTAGGTAGAGGTTACAAATTTCATACAAAAGAAAAGAACAGGGATGCTGGGCTAAAATCTAAAATTCAGACCCCAGTAACTCATCTCCAAACTACATGAAAAGATATCAGTAGATTTTTTACTGTAAACAGTACTTACATAAATTGCTTAGCCCCAAATCTATGGAAGTGGGGCTACTATAAAGCACCCATGTGGCCCTCTAATCCTAGAATGAAGAGTGGTAAAAAAAAAATACCTGACTTTCCAAAGCAATCATTTACTAAAGGTAGTCCTTTATATGGTAGTTTCATTCTCTTTGCAGTATGGTCATATTTGTATACAAAAGAAATTACAGCACAGTTGCCCTCACATCTAGTTATGAAAGCATCTAATAGGATTTCTTTTGCACTCACTTCGCTTAAACTTGGCAGCGTTCTCTTTCTATACACTTTTATCCCAACTTATAACATTTTAACTCAATTTATGCTGGAACATTTTCATAAAATTGAAATTGTAAAAAAAGTATAATGATCTCCTTGTGACGTGACAAACCGAGATGTCATTGAGTGCCCCGCTTTACGGGTTTTCACTTTACGGAGTTGCTATATTTGGTCAATTTCAAATTTGACCAAAACTCGCTAATTCACACGCTCCCTCCACTGACTTTTATATACGGTCACCTTTCCCACCTGTTTGTTTACATCTCCGTGAGCTCATAAGCACTAAGTCTCTCCATGTTTTTGTCTGGAAACTTCCAAAATTTCAAATGTTTTTAAAAGTTATTTCACATTTTTAAACTCCGATAATGTATACTTTATGTATTACCGTAACTAAATAAACTTACAACTGTGCTGGCTGCAGGTACACATTAAATCGGTAAAGTTTTGTCTTATGTCTCCAGACATTTCATATTAGTAATTGATGAATAATATCATCGAGTCATGGGTTAAATGTTGTATATTACGTTAATATACACATTTTCATTAATCCATCTATGATATTTTTTTCAAAATTATATAATAAACACGATGCATAACATATAAATAAGATAAATACAACCCCACAGTAGAATAAATAAACATAAAATGTGGAGATGTGGTAGCAGACGACTTGCACAAGTGACGCCATATTAGAAATGATAATAATAATAACAATACTCACCGAGTCTCATTAAATGTCGTATATTACGTTAATATACCTATTATTCATTAATCCATACCATGATATTTTTTGCAAAATTATATAAAAACACGATACATAACATTAAAAAGACTAAAATACAACCCCACAATGAAAAAAAAGGGAACCCCTAAATATAATATAGTGGGAGCCAGATAACTGACAAGTGACTCAAGGAAATCGTAAATGAACTCACGATTGCAAACAAACAACAACCCGCTGGGGATTGAACCCCGGTCATAGAGATCTTCAAAAACTTCCAGCCCGTTCGCGTAGGCCACTAGACCTGCTAGCACAATAGATTCTTTCCAACTAGGTATTTCTAACCCATAGGAAAAGTGTTATCACAGGCAGCGTCTGTGACCACAAATGCAGTTTTTACAGACGAATCCCAGCTAGCGTGGCCGTTTGCAATCGTGTCATTACGATTTCTTGAGTCATGTTGACGGCAGTGAAGGGACTTGAGCTAGAGTTCGTCACGGCCACGCTAGCTGGAGATTCGTCTGTAAAAACTTGCATTTGTGGTCACAGAGGTGCCTGTGCTAACCTTCCTATGGTGTAGAAATATACCTAGTTGGATGAATCTTATTGTGGCTAGCTGGTCTAGTGGCTAACGCGACGGGCTGGAGTTTTGAGACTCTATGACCGCGGGTTCAATCCCGGCCAGGGGTATGGTTTGTACAAGTGACGGCAAGAATAACATTTTCTCTAATCTAACATAAGAGAAAATGTGTTACTGGGGGTAACTGTAGAAAATTATTCCTTTCGTATGTATGTAAGTTTATTCAGGTATACACGAATACAGTTACATAGAATTATCATACATAACAACATATGTGTAGAGAACCTAGGATAACCCAAAAAAGTCAGTGTGACTTATTTCCATTGCCTTCACTCAGAGCTTCATTTCTTCTCAAAATGATGTTACATGAGAATGGGAGTGTTTCTTTATTAATTCTACCGTATCAATGTAGAGACAACCTGTACACAATGTAACTTGTACACAAACCAGACGTGTACACTTCATTTGTTACAAACTTACGTTCGCCTGGTTTGTTTACATAACTCTGCGCCTGTCCCCTCTCATGTACTCATTCTTTCTCTCTCTCATTTATTCGTTTTATCTCATTTACTTACTCCTGACCCTACATTAAGACTACAAATATTTTAAGGTAAGTAATGAGTGAACTGTATATACATTTTATCGCTCTGGGATGCTTAAATATCATAGAATATATGTGTGGGTGGGTTGGCCTGGTATGGTAGCCTGGCTGACTACCATACATACCACACTTGATTTTTTACAATAAATACTACTCATTTCACCCTATATTTTAAGGTAAGTAATGAGTGAATTGTATATACATTTTATCGCTCTGGGATGCTTAAATATCATAGAATAGTATGTGTGGGTGGGGTGGCCTGGTAAGGTAGCCTGGCTGATTACCATACATACCACACTTGATTTCTTACAATAAATACTACTTGTCTCACCCTAGATTAAGACTATAAATATTTTAAGGTAAGTAATGAGTGCACTATGTGTGTATTGTACTTTTTTATTTTTTTTTGATGCCTGGTTCTATTGCTAACTTAATATATGTTAGTGTAAACTTGATATCTAGTGTTTGTATGCATTTATAAGTGGAAAAAAAGGGTGTTCCACTTTACGGCGGTTTCCGCTTTACGGCGGTAGCCTGGAACCTAACCTGCCGTATAAGTGGGGCCCTGCTGTATATTTTCTATTGTCTTGGAACAGTGACAATTTTGAAAGGTAATGAACTTTAAGGATTTACATAATGTGAATCTTAGCTATGTGATTTTTATTGCATTTTTAACCCCTTGACTGTCACAACCCCAAATCCTGAGGTGTCTCCTGGTGTCGACAAAATTTAAAAAAAAAAAAAAAAAATGAAATGATAGAGAATCCTTTCCCGACTGTAATGACACCAAAAGAACGAAATTTGATGGAAAACTGACGGAATTACGCTCTCGTGAAATTAGCGACCTTGGCGATATTCACGAATCAGCGATTTTGCCCACTTTGAGCCCTATTTTTGGCTAATTCCATTGGTCCAGTCGACCAAACTCATAGCCATTTCTTTAGAACTCCATTTTTTCTATCAATTTCGTACAAGAAACTGCCCATTTACCGATTTCAACTACCCAATAACGTGGTCAGAAATTTGCAATTTGGCCAATTTCACAAAAATTAAAAAATATGACAATTTGAAAATAAGGCCCAGAATGAACAATGCAGACATTCCTGGCTCTAAAATAACATTTTCTTTGTTCATCAGTCACGTCTCCATGTAGACAGCCTGTACTGTCAGAACAGACAGCCTAGGCCGTCTGCCAGCTTAGTTCATATTTCGCGTCATTTAAGTGCTGCCCTCTGTAGGCTCACCCAGGTCAGTGGGAGGCTAGGCCCATTCGCCCTCACTCCCCGGCCGACCGACTTGATAGGCACAAGTACTCCCCCTCCACGGACTGGCTATTGGTCATTCCCTCACATTGCCCGCTTGTGTACTCACTCCTATCCAATTAAAGCCAAACTAGTCCACGGCCGTATCATTGCTACCTATGCTACCTCTATCGACACTAAACCGCTGTTCAACAGCAAGAACAGTAATAACATCCAGGCTCCTCTGATATTTCTCTTGCTTTCTATTTTGAATTTTTATTCAAACAAAAAATAGAAGATTTACTGTTATGCAGACTGCTGCAATATTGTAATAATTGTATAAATAATGTCAACCTATTCATGACTGAATATTAGAATGGCTACTTGGAAATTCATTGGAAAATGACATTTGTTTACCTTTGAACATCGGCAAAAAATCAAACATTTCCCCTACTTTGAGTTCCATTTCAAGGTTCTTTTCATAGTAAAACCAATCAAAATCACCTCTATTTCTATAATATGTTTTCCATTCTATCAAATGAGACCAAGAAAACGAGAATACAACCATAAATACTATACGAAAATAGACCACAAAGTCGGCATTTTAATTAAAAAAAAAAACGGTCGGAGTTTTTTTTTTTTCTGATTATGCACTGCATGCTGCAGGATTTTTTTTATATGGGGCACACTGACACCCATTCCCTCACATGTGGGCCTACCAGCTTTCTCCTGCTTGATTTGAAGCTAGAATTTATGAGTATACAGTGGACCCCCGCATAACGATTACCTCCGAATGCGACCAATTATGTAAGTGCGTTTGTACGTGTATGTTTGGGGGTCTGAAATGGACTAATCCACTTCACAATATTCCTTATGGGAACAAATTCGGTCAGTACTGGCACCTGAACATACTTCTGGAGTGAAAAAATATCGTTAACCGGGGGTCCACTGTATATACATCAAAAACGGTGGCTCGTAAGACGTATATATACGACCAAAACAGTCAAAGGGTTAAAAAGTGAATAGAATTCATTAGTGTTGAAATTTTATAACAGAAGAGGCTTTCTCAAATATCACATGGAAACCAAAGTAAGGACAGACCTTATAAGAGACCAGAGTGTGCTTACGCATTCAGTACTGATAGATGCATGAACTTTTTTGCTCATTATGGTACACCAGCGATGAAAATTTGAAGCCAACCAAAAAATGGCATTCTCAAGTTATAAACAAAAATCTTGAAAGAAAAAATAAATCAAATTCTGTTCATCACTTAAAGGTACCTCATTGGTGATACCTAAAAAATACACATAGAATGTACAGAGAACCTACACGGCACATATAGGTATGAACAAACACCTAAATTACTGGGAACAGTTGAAGTTCCTTGACGTGTATTCCCTTGAACTCAGGTGAGAAAGATACATGATAATGTACACTTAGAAAATCCTAGAGGGACTAGTACCAAATTTGCACACAGTAATCATTTCTTACAAAAGCAAAAGACTCAGCAGACAGTGCAACATCCCCCCAATGAAAAGCAGGGATGCCACGAGTATAAGAGACAACACAATAAGTGTCAGGCCCAAGACTGTTCAACTGCCTCCAAGAATACATACAGGGGATTACCAATAGACACCCAGCTGTCTTCAAGAAGGTGCTAGACAAGCACCTAAAGTCAATACCTGACCAGCTGGGCTGTGGTTCATATGTTGGTTTACATGCAGCCAGGTCACAGACTGGGCTTGCATGTACCTGAAACCCTCTCCAGGTATATCCTCAATCCTTAGAAAAATAATGTGTATTTCAAGTTTTCAATCACATTCAGTAAATTTCTGGTTTTAACAAGTGTGCAGTAAAATGTGACAAATAATTTAACACCATAATCTCCATAATCACATTTTCAAGAAAAGAGTAATGAAACTCCATAAAGGATTAAGATATAACTGACCACATTAACCCTTTGAGGGTCGAGACCCTTGATCCTTAACGCACTCTCGGTCGAAAAAATAAAAAAAAAAAAAAGATTCTTTCTTATGAAATGATAGAGAATCTTTTCTCGGTGGTAATGACACCAAAAGTATGAAATTTGATGGAAAACTTACGAAATTACGCTCTCACAAAATTAGCGATATCAGCAATATTTATGCATCAGCGTTTTCACCCACTTTGAGCCCTATTTTCGCCTAATTCCATTGTTCCAGTCAACTAAAATCATAGTTATTTCGCTAGAACTCGATTTGTTCTATCGACTGAGTACAAGAAACCGCCCGTTTACTGATTTCAACTACCCAATAAAGTGGTAAGAAATTGGCAATTTGGCCAATTTCAACCAAATTTCAAAAGATGCCAATTTCAAAATAGGGTCCAGAATAAACAAGACAGACATTCCTGGCACTAAAATAATATTTTCTCTGTTCATTAGTCATGTCTCCAGGCCCCTCTTATATTACTCTTGCTCTCCATTTTGAATTTTTGTCCTCACAAAAAATAGAAGATTTACTGTTATGCAGACTACTGCATTATGGCAAAAATGATATAAATAATATCAGCGCACTTGTGAAACAATATTAAACTCACCAGCTGACGTGTATTGGTCGCGTGGCATGATTTGTTTATCCTTGAACATTGGCAAAAATTGAACATTTTCGCTACTTTGAGCTCAATTTCAAGGTATATACTTTTCATTGTGAAACCAATCAAAATCATCGCTATTTCTGTAATATATCTTCCATTCTTTCAAATGAGACAACGAAAATGAGAATACAAAAATACACTGCAAAGACACTGTTTTAAATTAAAAACACCGTCGGAGTTTTTTTTCTCATTATGCACTGCGTGCTGCAGGATCTTTTTTATACTGCACACACTGACCGCGCAGACCCATTCTTTCATATGTAGGCCTACCAGCTTTCTTCCACCAGATTAGAAGGCACTAGGATTTTGGTGTATAAATACAGGACCGACACTGGCTATGAAGCCATACATATACAGGACTGGCCCTGAAAGGGTTAAGAGATATAAATTCCAACATACCATTTTTGTTCCAAGTAAAAGTGTCTCTCAACTTCTGACCCTCTATTTCCATGTCTAACCGGATGGGCACCAATTCTTCTTTTTGGCAGGAATTCTCATGTATCTGCGCAGGATCGAGGTCATCATAACTGTAGAGGGCAAAAGCTGCCATGAGAGCAAATTCTTAATTTTACTAAACAACTGGGTATCATTTAAAATGCAGTGTGAAAAAGATTAATAAACATAATATAAAATGAAGTGAAAGTAAATGGTATGGTGATACAGAGATGTAGAAAAAGACACTTATGTATTGTTCTGAACATTTATTAAAGGAACTGTTTCATGTCTTAAACAAGCCATGAAACTGTACACGGGTGCTTTTTCTACATGAAGTGAAGTGTATACTCACCACATTGGGAAGGTTCGAATTTTCTTGGAAATAATACGATTTCTATTAATTGGAGTCGCTTGAGGAACTGCATCCAGATGAGAGGAGTTAGAAATGGTTGGAACCCATGGGGCTGCTGGCTTCTTTACTGTGCGCTCAGCTCTGCAAAACATATTTATGAAGTTTCATATAAATGACAATTCATTCAAAGAATATGTTAACAAACTTTGTAGCACGATACTGTAACGTGAAATGGTAATTTGTTCATATAAGAAAGTTATAATTTCCTTTCAAAATGCATTTTCCAGAAAATTTCCAACTAATTCATGTTCAGTTACATATCTGTAAATAAAGAGGATCCAGTATTTCTGTCAGCAATTTACACTAGTAATTACTGTGTTATTTTATTTGTCAATCCGGGTGAAAGGAGAGTGGGGTAATATTAATCCTAGGTAAGGTCAGAGGATGATTAAAGGAAAATTTGAGTGATAGGGGGTTTGAGCATCAAGCAGGCTTGTGTGCATATATTAGACTGGAATAGAGAAAAGTGTTTTTATGGCTTGATGTGCTGTTGAGTGTGAGACCAGTTAGCTGGATTTAGAGTCCTGTCAATGGAAAGCACAGAGCATGAACTCTGAAGGAGGGGTGTGGATGTTGCATTTCAGAAGGTCATTTGAGTTATGATTTTTTACGTACTTCTGGCAAAAGTAGTTAAATGAATAACAGAAAGTGATTACTTTTTTGAGCCACCCTACCTTGGTAGGAGATGGCCAGAGTGCAAAATACATAATAATGCCTTTCCTAGTAACCTGAGGAAATAATATACTACTGTACATCTCATTCAAGTGAGACAAGCCCCACCACCCATGTTTTAGCTATTTCCTATGTACAGTACTCTCTATCATTCCATATAAAAGTAGAGTACAATATATTATAACCTCAAATAATAGTGAGTAACACCTCAGCGCCAAAAACTTTTCACATTATGTCCGAAATTTCACAAAATTGGATAAAAAAGAAAACAATTATGTCTAGTACTTCATGAAATTGGAAAAAAAAAAAAAAAATTTAACTCTTATGCCTTGTGAGAATCCAATAATATTCATATTAAAGTGAAAGCAACATTTTCTTTAATTTCTCAAGTCCACATAAAGACCATTCACAGAAAACCACTGAGTGTGGTCTTTTGAGAGTCATTACACATTGTCAAAATCAAGTTGGAGTGGAAGACAACCTCACATGTAAGAATACAAGTATCAACATTCAAAATTCAGCCTTAATCCACATTTACCAATAATACACCCATACAATACAAGCAGTATGACATTTTGGGAAGTCAATTATAAATAATCTCCATGGGGAAGTGAAACAGAATTCTTCCTCCGTAAGCCATGCGTGTTGTAAGAGGCGACTAAAATGCCGGGAGCAAGGGGCTAGTAACCTCTTCTCCTGTATATATTACTAAATGCAAAAGGAGAAACTTTCGTTTTTCCTTTTGGGCCACCCGGCCTCGGTGGGATACAGCCGGTGTGTTGAAAGAAAGAAAGAATTATAAATAATAAAACTTCTAAAGAATTGTCTGTTGTAAGCAATTTGAGGATACAGTCCCATTAGTCCTGGCAAATCACTTGAGCAAACCTGATAAAAGCTATTCGCCCTGCAGCAGCTGGGCAGATAATAGTGCCTTGTCAATAAACACTCGTACCCCAATCTTGTTGCGATAGTCATAAGTTAAAGTTTTAATACCTTACACTCCCATTTTTTAATTCATATAGTTTCTTAAACCAATGACAGATTGGAACTTTGTTACATACAAGGTTATATTGATTTCAACTTTTATGGCCATTATTAATAAAGTGGACAATTGAAAGACCAATTTGCAGCCTCTAGTATATAAACTTGTATTAATCTTTATTTAGACCAGAAGGTTGGCAAAAATAAAGCAGTGTAGCTAATCAGTCAGGCAGGTCAGTAAAGCTGAGATTCTTTACACTCTTTTGCTTTCTCCAAACTTCCTTTGCTTTTACCTTCCTCATTTTTTTTTTCCAACAAACTGGCCATATCCCACCGAGACAGGGTGACCTAAAAAGAAAAGCTAAAGTTTCTCTTTTTAAATTTAGTAATGTATACAGGAGAAGGAGCTACTAGCCCCTTGCTCCTGGCATTTTAGTTGCCTCGTATGACATGCATGGCTTACAGAGGAAAAATTCCGTTCCGCTTCCCCATCCAATACTTCTGTTATCTTTCTTTCTAGTCTACCACCTCATCTTGCATCCCTTAGTTGGCATATTCTCTCCACCTCCATTTCTCCTCCCTTTTGTCTCCCTATTTCCCACTCCCATTTACCTTTCTTTATTTTTTACTTCTTCCCTTCTTTTCCCTTTCCTTCGCAGATTCTTTCTGTATCAGCCATGCTGCCTTCCTTTGCTTTTTCTCCTACCTCTTTTGTTTATTTCCTCTTTTCACTCTACTCTTCCCCCATCCTCCTTTCTCTGCTCCAATTCCTGCTTTTATAGTCAGCAGTGACACCCCTTTACCTAACATCTTTTTTATCCTTGCTTAGTCTTTTTCTATCCTTTCCACACTCATTTTTACCTGGTTTCCCTCATCTAAGAATTCTTACCCCCCTTTCTTACCCATCTCACATCCATGCTTATGCCCTGTCCTGACTCTTTCTTTATCTTTATTTTTCAGTGGTAAACTAACTCACCTAAAGTGACTCATTCTTGCCATTCCTCAGCCTGGAATTCTCTTAATTCTCGTCTTTCTGTTTGACCTACCAACCCATTTTCAATTCTCCTTTCTTCCGATCTCCTATAACTCACTTGATTGTTCTTTGTTTCTTGTACTTCTGGGTTGCTCCTCTTTCCCTTATCTTTCTACAATGAATTTTATCTACTTTCTCTCTTTCCACTAACTTATCCATCGTTTCCCCATTTATTTTGCTACTCTATTGTCATTCTTACTCCCTTTACTCCTGCAATTTGCAGTTTTTTACCCTTTACCCTTATAAATTCACCTCTGTACTTTCCCTCCCCTTTTTTTCCCCCTTTGTGACCATTAGAGTGTTCTTGTAATCTTACCTTTTAGAATTTGTTTATGCCACTTGACTTCCATGTTAAGTTTTACCCTTACTCTTTCTGCTCTTTCTCCAGCCTCATATATTTATACCAATTCCATTTCCTTCTCTTCATCTTTTTTTTTCCAAACTCTATTATTATCCCTTACATTCCCTTGACTTTCTGGTCTCTTAGAAAAATATACTCTGGCGGCTCACCTTTTAAAAGAACAAAAAGGAACAATACCATGACTGGAACAACACACAAATAAAACACCTTTTTAGCCCCTGACCACGAATAAAAGTGTTCCCCCCCCACCCTCCCTTTTCCAAGGTAATTCTGTTTGATGTACCCATTCCTCAACAGTCTGTCTGCCAATCGAGAGTTGGTGGGCCTCATATATTATGTGCCCTCCGGACACTTAGTTATGTAATTCTGCGGTAAAATTCAATTTTGCCATACCATGAGGGTTGATATAATTACTGCTCTAGTAGCATTCCTGTGTACAAATTAGGTAGTAGAATGTTTGTCTTTATTCACTGCTAGGATATACAGTATATATATTTTATTTCTTTTAGGGTAGATTTTTAAGTAATTGATCCATACCCTGATTGCAGCGTGTTGCCATCGGAGGAGGGTTGTTGACTGGCTGATTTGTTGGCATGGCGTTGTTGGTTGCTACGGCGTGCTTTGTTGTCACGGCGTGATTGTTTGGACGAGAGTGGTTGCCGCGATTGATTCCTCTGCTTCAAGCCTCTTCGTGTTGTAGTGCGGGAAAATGAATTAAAAGTCCAGTTGTAACTGAATAAATTTCGTGTAAAATCTTTGTAATTATCTTTGCATTTTGAAATGACCTGGCTTGTTTTAAAATGTATAAGCCTGATAGAATCATATACTGTATATCTATAACATCTCCCAACTACATGGAAAAGCTTGTAAACTTGTAAAGACGTGAGGATTAGTTAAAAATCAAGCGGTTATGAGACAATACTTCTCAAGTTTTACACTTGTACAATTTGTTCTGTTAAACATTAATGCAAGACAAATGAAGCAAATATCACTTACAACTAGAGCGCTTTATAATTCAAGATCCTGTAGAAGCATTAAAGTGCCCAGTTACTGTGCACTCTGCCTTTTAAAATAAGGTGAAAGTAACATTTCTCATGCCAGGATGTGAAAGATTCTCAGTTACTTGTTCATTTGCTCCTTATTTACAGCTTGATAATTCATCCTGTACGTCTCATTTCATGTTTCAATTGTCATCTACATGAAACCCCACTTTTCAAGAATTGTGCGAGTTATAGTAACGATTTCATAGTCTTTTATTCATGAATAAATGACATTTCTTGAAATTTATTTTTAGTCGAAATATCTGAGGTAATCATTCAAGTGGCAGCCAGTAATGTTTTGCTTCCCGCCCATTCCGCTAATAATTTTGACTTACAAAATTAAGCATTTTTCTTATTATTGACGATGATAGTCTACAGCATAAATGAGGTATAAACTTAAGTAACTTTTCACGTACAAAGAGACCATAATAGCACCCAATGTCTAAAATTTTTTAGTTAAAACATTTTTGGTAGCTGCTGCTAGCCAACAAGTCTACATGTAACCCCGCTGTGGGCTAGATTAGCATCGTAATTTTTCAGACACTGGCTTGGCTGGGTATATGTCCACACGATTTTATAACAGTGAGTTCATGTACAAAAATAGGTGTAAAAGTAGTATTTTTGTAATAAATCTTTTGGCTAAGAAAACATTATCCATCTGTTAAGGCCAGTACATAGAGAGAAAGACTCACTAAATCAAACTGATTTTCCTCTCCCATTCTAATTACTAAGTAGAAAGATTTGATGTCCAGCGATGTTTTCTCTGGAAGTGTCTCTAGATTACACTTAGACAGGATGTTAGCTAATAACATAGGTAGAAAATTCAGAAACATTCTTTTTCTCTCTAATACTTTTCACTCTTTCTTTCATTTCTTGCTCTTTCTTGTGTTACTTTCTGCTCCTCTTGCCTTCTCTGATTTCAGCCTTCCTCTTTATTTCACTTGCATCTTTCCTTTCCAGATTTTTTTTTTTTGTTTATTTTGCTCTTTTCCTCTAATTATTTCTATCTTTTAAGTTTCTTGACTCTTAGAATTTATGCACTCTTTCTGCATACAGATTCTGATGAATTATTAGGAGCATCATCTCACTATGAGTACCTTCTTAATTGCTAGTTAACTCATCTGATCACTCTCTACCTTAAATTTTCTGATAATGCACATCTGTGAAATCTTAGGGTCCGACCCTGAAACAACAGCAATTCAGACAACAACAACTGTCTGAAAAAAGCATCTCTCTTGGTTGTTCCCAAATTTTGTAAAACACTTTGACTGAAAACACCATAGCAGTCAAAAAATAAGCTATTTATGAAGCTTTTCTTGGTCAATAAGTTTCTCAAGATGGACTTTTTGTTGCAGCAGAGTTACTAATTAACTTGAAAGGAAGGTATGTTTCCTTCATAGATAAGGATTATTAAAGGCAGTAGAAGTCCTTAAGAGATTGTATTGTGGTCAGTCTGGATGCTTAATTACTGGTAGACAGTCTTAAATCGACCACTCCCACCTCTTAACACGACTTCAGATTAAGAGTTATGCACACAATACTCCTCAATAGGGGTACCTTGATACTAAAGGGCTCTTGATCTAAGGAAATGAAGTTACTCTCCCCTTCCTTGAATCAAACTTTATAATCTCCCATTTCCCAAGTGCTCTACGATCCCTAGAGTTTCAGCACTTCCCATGGTGAAAATAATACCATAATAATATTCTTACAAAAATTTTTGCCAGTCTTCCACATCCTGAACCAAGGCTGAGGAAGAGTAAAGCCATTTACAAGCCAACAACCAGCAAGTAAAGAAACAAATGTGAGCTTTCTTCTCAAAACAAGGCCTTCTGAGTTAAAAGGACTATTCCTGTTGATGTTTACTGTAAGTATTTTATAAATTCTTTTATGATTGTTCAATGAAAATTTATATTGATAAGGCAGGGCTTAGGACACACAAATCACAAAGCTTACATGACACTTGTGGAGGTCCTGTCAAAATTGAGTAGAGACTTGAGTACATTTCCTACTAGGCTGACTCAATGTACTTCCTCATTTTTCTTCTAGGTGAAGTACAGCAAGGTAGTACCTGTCTCACAATTATTTGATGAAGGATCAAGCTTTCATTCAGTACACTGAATGACCCATATGGGTTTACTGGTAAGAGAGCAAGTAGTCAGTCTTGGAATGCAAAACTCTACCTTTGCTAGCATTGCAAAAATAATTCATCTGATAATTCTATATTATATCAAAACAATTTTTAAGAGCTGCTACTGAAGACAAGCTCATTGCTCTACAGCTTCACACAATTCTGGAGTTGAGTCATGAGATGTTTCTTCCTTATTCAGAAGTTTAAAAGTTCAGCACTGCAAGTCGTGAGAAGCATATTAAGCAGTATCTCAGGCCTGCCAGGATTCCAGTATAAAGATATGCAAGGAGCTCTCTATCCATTAAAGCTTCACAATCAACGAGGATCCAATTCAATAGTTTCTATACTGTCATTGGTTTTCTTATGTCCATCACTAGAGGTACAAAGAATCTTCCTAGAATAGCTGACATTAGTAAGATATACATCTTTGCATAGGGCAATTTCTGATCCAATTAAGTTATCATACTCTTTTGGTCTTAGAATACAGAAAGGCCCAGTGTAAATAGTTCAACTTTTAAGGAAAGGCTTAGGAGGGAGATGATCTGGAAGACTTTTAATGACCTAGCACAGGTAATAATTCAAGAGGGTCTAAAGTTATATTTAAACAAAGAATTTGCCCCTATTGCCTTCACATCAAAGGATCTACTGATTATTTTTAGCTCAAAAAGAATTCATGTTTACTGAAACTTAAGGACTGCCTATAGCCTGATAAAACTGGTAAGCTTCCAAATGGAAACAATAATCAAGGAAGTTCTTTCTTTGTTCATCCAGATTAGGCTTCATTTTTTAGATTTTTTCTATAAGTACAGATGCATCATGATTCCAGTGATCTATCAAAATGCATCATCCCCAACCACCCTTCAGTGCAGGCACTAAACTTCCCAACTCCACAATGCAAGTCTAACCAACCAGTTTCCCCTGAATCCCTTAACAGTTGTTACCTTGCTTATATTCCGATAGCACATCAATTCCCATAAACCCCCACTTCAGTTAATTCTTATCGAACATGCTCACACATCCCTGCTGGATACTCAAGCCCTTATATCTTAAAATTTCCTTCACTCCTTCCCTCTAAACTTTCTTGGGATGTTTCCTATAAATCTTTCCATCCCCCCTACCCTCAGATTTAAACATCCTTAGTCAACCTTTTATACTCCATACTTTCTAACTGACAGGCAATCTAAATGTCCCCTCTTCCACTTCTATACCCTCACACAGTCTTTCTAATTACTTCATGCATTATTCTCTGCATGACATTCACACCACATATTGATCTCAAGCATGACATCTTTGATGCTTCCATGCATCACACACATACAAGTTTTTGCATCACAACACACATGCATTACCCTTTCTGCTTCCACTGATGAAATCAACATCCCCAGCTACCTTCATCCTCTTATTTATTCTATGATTCACCTCATCATTCACAGATTCATTGTCCATTACAACCACTCCCAAATACTGTATCTAAATAAACATATTCTCATCACAACTTTTCCTCCAATTTAACATCTAGGGTTCTCTTGTCTAGCCTTCTTACATACTTACATGCATGCATACATACATGCATACATACATGCATACATACATACATACTACATACATACACACACACATGCACACACATGTGCACACACATACATGTGCACACACACACATGCACACACACACACACACAAATACACGCATGCACACACAAACATGCACACACACACACATACACGCAGGCACACACAAACAAACACAAAGAAAAAAAGACGCTTACTTTCCTGATATTTAGAAATCTCCTCTTGTGATTTAAAATAATACTCAGTTCAGGTTTTAATCATGCTTGCCCCCCTTCCTCAAAATATGAAAAAAAGTAGTTACACTGTCACCCCACCCATTACTGAAGGCTGAATGTATTTTGTACAAGATCAAGTCTGATTCTGGGGGTCATCGAACCCACTGCAGAACAGAAAACCAATGTTTCTTTATCAAAGGTAGTATTTTATCAATTTAATTCAATGTTACTATTTATGGACTGATTCAGATGTTTCAGAAGCAATTTTTTACACACTAGAGCAAGGTTATTAACAATAAAAATGAATGAATTACGAAATTATGGAAGCCAGAATATTCATTAATTCCTATCTACTGTAATATAATGCTATCCAATTACTAGGACCTAGTCATCTGGTGAACACTGAACTACAGTACATTAGAGTTAGGCCGAATGAGTTTTGTGTTCATTTCATGCCTAGGTGTACAGGATGTGCAATTCATTAGCACTGTATAAATTACAAAAATATTCAGCAAAATCCAGTAATAACTTTATTAAAATTAATGAGGAGTTTGGTTTACCTCTTAAAATGAAAAATTCAATTTGTGTTTTCCCTATTTACTATTTACCTTCTTGCTTTCAAAGACTTATCCTTGCTGCTGGCATCTTATTCATAATATTTTATATAAATTTTTTTTAACTCTGTCCATCTGTCCACAAGATGATTTTTCATTACTATTCACAGGAAAAGGAATATTTTCTGACAAATTATTGCACACAAAACCTATAAATTAATCTATTACTTGATAGAATCAATGAGAAATCAAATTCCTCTTCAGAATTAATTACCTGGCAGCAGCTGCCTCTGGATCTTGCTGCTGACGTACTGATACAGCTTTGTACTTGTCCTCGTTGCCTTCAATAATATCCTCTACTTCAGAGGCTCGCAGAAGGGAAATGTTGGACGCTAACACATGCTGAGTTAAACCTGAAAGGTTTTGAGCACAACATAATGCTAATATTTTACTTAAGTAATAGCGATGTAATCCCTAAAATTATATCAATTGAAAAAAATAAATAAAAAAGGCCAATTTATGAAATTTTTAGGTAAGAAAACTCAATTTGAGTACTGTATAATTAAAACAGTAATGATAATATGAAGACAGTAATACAAAATTATATATACTGTCAATTTATTCAAATTGTTTGTATTTGTCACTTATTCTGCACAATGCAGCACAATGCCTCATACTCTGCAGTGAATCTGCAAAAAGTGAGAGATTTCTGTATACATTATCCTATTTTTAACAGCAACATTACTGAAAAGAGAAAAGTTATGTCATGATCAAAATTAATTTGATCATGAAATGGTTTCTGTTTGTTATCAATAAGTGAAGCACCTATTTTTTGTAAGCTCTGGACATTGTTCCCATTTATCATCTTGTTATTTCCAAGAATCCCATTTGACTTTCTTAGACACTTTCTACTATACCAAACTTGGCAGAGCTGTGGATTGTTAGTTCATTTAAAGTTTTTAGCAAGAAAATAACCAGGTTTCCTTCCAATTTTGGATAGACTCGCTAAGCCTCAATGAATGAGCACAGAATCACATGTGGCTTGAGCCATATTTTATGCTAATGACTAAATTCATTTGCAGATTTTGTGAATGAAGCTTATCTAACCTTACACTGTCAATGGGACTACATCACAGAATTTGGGTGGCTTGAATTAAAAAACAAAAAGGTACTATTTTAAGTATGTATATTGTAATCCAGTACTACTTACCAAGTTCCATTAACTTCTTTCGTTCATCATTGGTAATAGATCGTCTGTACATTCCAGGAAATTTTTTATACAATGACCCACGGAACAAACGCAGGTAGTTGCCAACCTGAAATTTTTTTTAACTTTTGTATATAAAAATACCATATTGGATATCAGCTAGTGCTAATTTTCATTCTGCCATATACAGAACCTAATTTACCTGATGCAACTTTTGAGCTTACTCTTGTAAAGTCAAAGGCAATCAATTGAAATCATGAGGCAGCTGCAAAGTATGGAAGTTACTGAGAAATCAGGGCTAATCAACAGTTAACCCTCTAACTGTCCAAACGTAGTTCTACGTTTGCACGCATAGCGCTCCACCCTTGATTTTCTCCACAAGAATGTAAAAAAATAAATAAATCTACGTTCAAAGCGGTACGTGAGCAAAAGTAGATCTACATTTGGACAGTTTAATCAAAACACCTAGCCAATCACAGTTCCACACAAAACTGTGCCTAAACAAACTCCCAAATATTCAACTATTACCTCATTTTTCTGCTTATTACTATTATTATCAGAGATCATACAGGTCCTAGGGGATGTAAGGCAGCACTAAACCTGCAAGGGTCACATTATTATAACCAAGGGGGAAGCACTAAACCCATAGGATTATACAGCACCTGTGGGGGATGTGGAGGGCATTCACGTTTAATTCAGTTAACTGGAGCTCAGATCTAATTCCCTAGATCAAGAGCCCTCACCAACATCAAGGAAACTTCCATGAGGGGCACAAGGCTCACAGAGTGCTGCTGGGTTTGATCTAAGGGAAAGATGGCTCCAATTCCCTGCATGATGAGCACTACACAATCATGAAGGCATCAAGAGACCTTCACAATCACAAAAGCATAAAATCATATGCTATCATGAAGTCATCAAGAGCCCTTCACATTCATCATGAAGGATTCAAGAGCCCTCTCACAATCATGAAAACATTGAGACCTTCACAATCATGAATCAAGACTTTCACAAATCATGAATCAAGCCTTTTTTCACAAATCATGAATACATCAAGAGCCCTTCACATTCATTATGAGGGCATCAAGAGCCTCACACACAATGGCATCAAGAGCCTCACACCATGAATGCATCAAGAGCCCTTCCCATTTATCAAGGCATCAAAACCTTTTCACACTCATCATTGAAGGCATCAAGAGCTCTTCACAATTATACACAAGGCATCAAGGGCCCTTATCACCATGAAGGCATCAGGTGCCCTTTTTCCACTCACAATGAAAGGCATCAAGTCCTTCACACTCACCATGAAGGCATCAAGAGCCTTTTCACAATAATGAAGGCATCAAGAGCCCATAATAATAATAATAATAATAATAATAATAATAATAATAATAATAATAATAATAATAATAATAATAATTGTGAAGGCATCAAGAGCCCTTCATAATTGTTAAGGCATCAAGACCTCATAACTGTGAAGGTATCAAGAGCTAATAATTGTGAAGGCATCAAGAGCACCTTTCATAATTGTAAAGGCATCAAGAGCTCATAATTGTAAAGGCATCAAGAGTCCTTCATAATAATTGTGAAGTCATCAAGAGCCCTTAGTAATAATTGCTAAGGCATCAAGAGCCTTTTTTAATAATCGTGAAAGCATCAAGAGCCCTCGCAATAACTGTAAAGGCATCAAGAGCCCATTACAATAATACTGGAGGCATCAAGAGCCCCTTTTACAATGATCGTGAAGGCATCAAGAGCCCTTCATGATCATGAATGTCAAGTACCTTGCAATAATCATGAAGGCATCAAGAGCCCTAATAATATCAAGAACCCCTGTAATAATAGTGAAAAAATCAAGAGCCCTCATAATATCAAGAGCCCATTGCAAATAATAAATGCATCAAGAGCCCCTAGCAATGATCGAAAAGGCATAGAGCCCTTAGCAATAATAAAGGTATCAAGAGCCCCTCATAATAATCATTGAGACATCAAGAGCCTCTCACAATAATCGTGAAGGCATCAAGAGTCCCTAGCAATAATCGTGAAGGCATCAAGAGTCCCTAGCAATAATCGTGAAGACATCAAGAGCCCCCTCACAATCATGAAGGCTCTGAGACATCCCATCCCGGTGGTTCAACACAACACACTGCACGAGCCTCTCCACAGATCAACAATAGTAACACTGAAACACCAGCAATAAACTCTAAGTGTTGCAATTCATACCTCAGATCCAATACACCAAAACTCGCCATTTTCCTCCAGTTGAAAACTGACAGGTTTATCACCGTAAGTCTTCGCCATTTTGAAGGTAAACAAAGCCACTCTAAAACCAGCTCGTGTTATTTATAACATTTTCATATATAATAAATGTATTTTAACTTATCCTCTATAATTTCTCGATAAAATATTAATGTTTTACTAAATATTTTAGTTTTTAAATATAGTAATGTATTGTAAAAGATGAACTGTCAATTACTTTGTTCCGTTTTATAGCATAATGTAAACTGTACATAATAGGCAATGAACCTAATTGCTCACTAATAAAAAATATGAAATAGTCAGCAATTGTCACAAAATTATATTATTTTTGCATTCGAGAGCTAAATCCGTGGGGGTCATAAAGTGCCTGGTGGAATGGAAGGCATTCAGGCTCATTATAATTACTATAATCATGGGGAGCGCTAAACCCGTAGGATTATACAGCGCCTGTGAGGGGGGGAGATGGAAGGTATTCAGGCTCAATTCAGGGAACTGTAGCACATCCAATTCCCCAGATCAAGAGCCCCTTACCAGCATCAAGGAACCTCCCTTGAGGTGCCATTCAGGCTCAATTCAATTGGAGCACAAGTCTAATTACTTGGACTCACAAGGACCTCTACTGGAAAAGTCTTTTCTTTTTTAGGGGGGTTATCCTAGGTAATTTACATATGTTACTATGTATGATAATTGTAATTGCAGTATATTCATAGGGGAGTGCTACACCTATAAGGATTATACATCATTATATTTATTGGGAAGCATTAAACCCATAGGTGTCATATAGTGCCTGGGAGGCATTTAGGTTCAATCCAAGGAAGGGGAGGGCAAGTCCAATTCCTTGGATTAAGAGCCCCCCTCACTGGCATCTAAAAACCTCCCTTGAGGGGCCCTAGGGATCATACAGCACCTGAAAAAATGGGAGGCATTCAGGTTTAATCCAATGAAGATTATTATTATTATAATCAAGGGGGAAGCGCTAAACCCGTAGGATTATACAGCACCTGGGAGGGAAAGTGGAAGGCATTCAGGCTTAATTCGGGGAACTGGAGCACAGATCCAATTCCCTAAATCAAGAGCCCCTCACCAACATCAAGGAACCTTCCATGAGGGGCTAATGTGTTGGAAAACTGCTGAACTGTTTCTAAAACTTTTTTCACCCTGACCAAGTCCAACACAAGTTAGCCAACAGTCACTGTTTCCATATTCATGTCCTTATAGACACCACCATAATGCTTTACCCTCTGCCACACAGCACATTTATTATAATCAGGATTATCATCATTATATTCATGAGGGTGGACCTAAACCCATAGAGGTCATACAGGACCAAGAAGAAATGGGAAGTAATCAGGGTAAGAATTATTATTTAGGGAGATTGTGCTACACCTGTATGATCCATACACCTGTATGGATCATACAGGTGTATGGTAAACAATCAGAATCTGTCCAAGGAAGGTATGAACTATGTCCAGCTTCTTTAATTAAGAAACTTCACACCAGCTTCAAGGTTCAACCCTTGATAAGTATGTACAATAAATTTTTATTGAGGTTCATTATACAAGTTCTGATTTTTACAATTGTCTTGGGTACTAACATATGTAAATTATCCTCAGATAGCCCAATTGTGTTAATTGCTGGAGAGCTACTGTTTCTTAGGCATAGTACATTTTCAAAGAGCCCAACTTTTTTTTTTTTTTTTTTTTTCTTTTGGGGAGGGGGGGGTTAATTCTGCTAGGTGTGTCGCCTGAGTGGCTAGTTTATTGTGCACCCCATACTCATCTTGTGACCAGCGGGGGTTTTAATGGTGAGTAAATTCCTTTATTTCTCTGAATTTCAGCTCAACATGATCCCAATGGTTGTGGAGCTTTTAATGAATTAGGAATAGGACAGAAAGGTTGACAAATAGGGTGTATAAACTTTGGGTGGAAGACAGAAAGGGTAGGGGATGTCCTAGGAATGGTTGGAGGGAGGGGATGCAAGAAGCTTGTGCATACAGCAGGTACGTATGAGAATGTTAGATAGGAGTACATGGAGGCAAGTGGTTTTTTTATGGATATATTGTTGGGGTGTTAGCAGGGTAAATTTTAGGAAGGAATTCAGGGAAAATCAGTGAGCTAGATTTGAGTCTGGGATGTGGGAAGGGCAGTGCCTTCACTCTGAAGGAGGGGTGGAGGAGTTGCAGTCAGAAGGCAATTTGATTGTAATGTCAACACATTTCTGGAAAGACAGCATTTGCATGAATGTTGGTAAATGTGTTTTCTTGTTTGGGTCACTGTTCTTGGAGGAAGACAGCCATCATGTTTAAAAATAAGATATTTGTAAATCTGGTAATGTACCATAATTATTTAGAGCACAGTATATTTAAATGGAAGTGCTAAAGTCATAGGAGTCATACAGTACATGGGGGAATGAGAAGCATTCAGATTCAATCCAAGGAAGGGGAGGATAGATCCAATTCCTTGCATCAGGAGTCCCTCATTGGCATAAAAAAACCTTCCTTGAGAGGGTGATATACTATGGCTGATACTTATTATGGGTGAAGACTAAAAAGGAATACATACATGTCATGATATATGGTTGTTATTTATTAACCTCACTAAAGCTGCATTTATATTTCTTCAACAATAAACCAAACTAACAAAGCCATTACAACCTGCTGAAGTTTTGCTTTCAGCAAATATATATACGCAGACTGCGTATTCATATTCATTGTAAGAAGTAAACTTGTTTCTTTATAAAATGCTGCACTTTGGGAGATAAAAGGCAAATACGGTAAAGTATATACTTTATTAATATATACAAGCTCATTAATAATTTGTATAATGTACACAAAATTTTTACATATTATTATCATTCACAAAAAAACTACCTTCAGAACTACCGTACATTATGAATAAATTTATACATTTTTAATTATAAAATAGAAATCATGATCCATAATATAATAAACTTAAAACATTTTTGCTGGTCTGGTCTATATGATGCTAAAATAAACAATTTCAATAAAATACAATCAATCTACAATCTTCCCACTTCAGAAAAATAAGTACGTACTGTAAAGCTTGGTTTAGAAAAACATGTACACAAACACTAAGACACATTTATTAGAAAACGTTTCGGTCCTGGGACCTCGATCTCTTCAGTCCTGGGATCAAGGTCCAAGGACCGAAACTTTTTCTGATATGTCCTAGTGTTTGCTTACATGTTTTTCTAAACCAACTTGTTGGTATTTATTACCAAGGTTTATACCATATTGTAAAGCTTATCTTTAACTTTAAATTACCAGTGATGTCAACTGGGGCACATGGTGTTGGTAAAACTAGGAAGGTAACAGATTTATTATACTTGTGCACATCTACTGTATCTCTAGAGCAGCCATGGGCAAACCCCAATCCAGTCATGTTTCAATCTGTCCCACAGAGCAATATTTGATTCAGCATTTCATGTAACTATTATGCAGAAATGCTAAAACTGTATAAATTACATTTCCCAGGAAGCGCTACAAGTTTTGGAACAAAACAAATGGTACAACTAAATATTTCTACATAACAGCTACATAAAATAACACCCCACAGGCCGGCTTAAAATATTACCAAGCTGTAAGTTCAATCATGCCTGCTCTAAAGTCATGTGGTGATCAGCAATATAAAAAAAAAAATATGTAAAACAAATTTAAATGGTAGGCAGAAATTTAAGATTTAACAGACTTGAAAATGAGAAAAAATTTGGAATAAAAAATACTGCATTGTTTTATGTTGCTGCTAGCATTAACAGGTATAAAAGTCCCATTAATTCATAAATACATACAGTACAGTACTTTAATGCATCTTTTATTCCTACAATTTCCACAGCAGCTTAACAGCATTGACAATGCCTACATCTGTGTAAATGAAGTAGCAAAGGCCACCCAAGGTAAGGAAAGACAGAGCAGACACAGCACCTACTGCCAATTTAGGAATAACTTTACCAAATGTACCAGGTCGAATGTAGTCTATAACAATTGCCTCAATGCCCCTGAAAGGAAACAGTGCATACATTTGAGACTCTATAAACCAGTAAAAAAAAAATTAATTTCAGGAAGAGTCATACCACTAAGTCCAGATCTTCAGCAAATATTAAAGGTTACTGAGCAGTCCTGACAGTGTGGGAATGGTTAATACCTTTGAAATAAGATACAACATATCTACACATTTCATCAATAGAAATTAGGTTAAATCGTTGCTGCTACAAAAAATCTATAAATTACCGTAATGTTAACAAAGTCTATGTGGTTGTCATGTTTATCATAATTCTTTAGTAAATTTGGTTCCTCTACCCAGTAACCCAATCATATTTACATTCTAAAGAAGATAATTTTTTCACCGGGTTGTAACAAATAAGGTACTCTGCAGATGTGGAAGAAATTATATAAAGCATAATCAACAAGAACATTAAAAAAATCCTGCATAAATAAAGCAATATGTGGGAAACCATCAAAACAAACTAAAGAAGCCGAGTGCTACTGTGGCAAGTTCCAGTTATGGGAGATTCCTTCCAAATTTTGTTAATATTTTATATTAAAAAAAAAATTGAGACTTCCAGATTTATGAGTAATATATTAGACATTAGAGTTTTTGCACCTGTATTGCCATACTCAAAACTCATTTAAAATACACAGCTAATAAATACTTACCAGTGTGAATGAACAGTTATAGAAAGAGCCAGAAAGTACTCTACAGATGGTGTTGGGAAGATCACTGCTGCTGGGATGGCACCCAATAGCACCACTGAAAGGATTCGCTCTGCAGTCCAATGCAAAACATGGTCATGACCAGCTTGTTCGATCTCAGGAGGACCTTTAGTAACAGGTGATACGCTGAAGGGTTTTGCCTAAAAAAAAATTATAATAATCCTAAGTTAATAATACATACATCAAAAAATTAATATTACTTATTAAGATACACTATTTATAAATGCCACATAACTTTTTTTTTTTTTGCTATACTGTACTGTATCTTTCTTTAAAGGTTTCAGGCAATCACAGATGCACAATTTTACCTGTAACTTATATTTAAGTGTCAAATGACGATCTCTTTTTCAAAATATATATACGGGCTTACCTGATATGGAACAAGGGCTTGAGAGCTAACTTGTGTTGCTGTTGGTGGAATTATTCGTGAAGGAACGAGATACAGGCCATTTAACCGTAAAGAACCAAAGCAGCTTCCAACTTTACCTGAAAATATTATTTGCTTTACACACTATTTCATTAGTGAGATATGCAGAAGAGGGTCTCTGACTGTGGCTGAAATATACAGATGTCTATTACCTGTGTTTCTTATTTCTGCCTGCATGCTTTTTCACTTTATAGCTATAAAAGTTTGGAAATCTGTAACTGAATTAAGAAACTTAAGACTAAAGCTAAACAATAACTAACCACACTGCAGAAAAAAAATTTTAGAATACAGTATACATATACTATATGTATTTAACATAATGAACAGGGTGTCCACAAAAACACTCCCTGATTTCAAACAGGTATAACAAGTAACTTTATAGTAATAATCTTTCACAGTTAGTAGCTTCAGATGCAGGATTTCATTCAATTTCATGTAGTATAGGGTAGCATTAAAGGCACTCAATATGCGCCCCTCTGGTTGCTCGGCAAACTAATGTGATAGTCCAGTTCAGTCCAGATGCTCTGCAGCATATCTGGTGTTATCATGTGAACTGCCTCAGTGATTGAAATTTTCAGCTCCTCCAGGGTTGCAGGTAGTGATGGTACATAAACTATGCTCTTTACATATCCCCAAATAAAGAAGTCACTATTTTCTGCTCCTCCAGGGTTGCAGGTAGTGGTGGTACGTAAACTGTGCTCTTTACATAGCCCCAAATAAAGGAGTCACTACCAGTTAGGTCCAGTGACCTCGCAGGCCACTTGCAGAGGTCACCAGTCCCAACTGTTTGTAACTTCTTTCTTTGGGGGTACATGAAGAGCACAGTTTACGTACCACCACTACCTGCAACCCTGGAGGAGCAGAAAATTTCGATCACTGAAGCAATTCACATAACTCCAGATATGCTGCTGGGCGTCTGGACCAAACTGGACTATCACATCGATGTTTACCTTGTTAGGTAAGACACATATGCAACAGTTAGGTATCTTTATTTTGAAACGTTTCGCCTACACAGTAGGCTTCTTCAGTCGAGTACAGAAAAGTTGATAGAAGCAGAAGAGACTTGAAGACGATGTAATCAGTCCATCACTATTAAAGTTTTGAGGTGGTGAGTCCCTCAGTCTGCAGAAGAGCATTGTTCCATAGTCTGAAACAATATGGAGTTGAAGTGACAGGATGGAGCCTTATATAGCGCCAGGAGGTGAGACGTAGGTCACTAGTAGAACGCAGATGTTGGGAGGTCAGATCCCTCTCAAATCCAGCCGTTCTCACTAGTAGAGGTTGTCGAAGTTAATTTCAGGTCTGTACCAAGAAATAAAGATACCTAACTGTTGCATATGTGTCTTACCTAACAACCTGTCGGTATTTTATACCATTTTAATGTTCGATGTTTACCTTGCAACCAGAGGGGCGCACAGTGAGTGCCTTTAATGCTACCCTATACTACATGAAACTGAATGAAATCCTGCATCTGAAGCTACTAACTGTGAAAGATTATTACAATAAAGTTACATGTTATACCTGTCTGAAATCAGGGAGTGTTTTTGTGGACACCCTATACAATAACAATGCTAAAATAAGACACACTTGTGCAGAAGTTATATTGACTGCTATAAACTTTATTTGTAATATCATTTTCATCTTCATTATCTACATAATTCTGTTTTCATTGTATTATCTATGGTACAGTAATTTTTAATATTGTACATAATGCACATGAATGATATACATGTACATGTGTGATATATTAGGTTAAATACACAAAGACCCTAATATAAGTAAGTAAGTAAATTAAGTTTATTCAGGTATACACAAATACAGTTACATAGATTATCATACATAGCAGCATATGTGTAGAGAACCTGGGATAACCCCAAAAAGTCAGACAGACTTATTTCTATATATTTTTTAGCTATCCTTTGTTAAACTGAAAATTGTAAATGCTTCATATAATTAATAAATAAAAAATTTAATAGACATTAATTCATACCCAGGTGTTGCACAGGTCTTACCACATCACTGTTAACCTCTCCTGCAATACATGTGCTTGTAATTTATTGATTAGGTTAGAGGAAAACACTCTTCAAATTATTAATCCAGGACAATCTAAAAAGACAGTGTGACTTATTTCTGTTGGAGTTCTTCACTTTCCTTACCAAAAATAATATAAAACAGCTGACCAGTATCTGGGTACCTTTTACTGCTAGGTGAACAGGGGCAGCAAGTTGTAAAATTAATTTATTATAGTAGTATATATATCATTGTAATAATAATAATAATAATAATAATAATAATAATAATAATAATAATAATAATAATAATAATAATAATAATTTATTTCAGGATGATACAATGTTTGTACAAAGGTGAATGACATTTGGGTGTACCTGCAGAAAGCCACTAATTATGCAGAACATTATGAGCAATCTTATCACAGAGTCATTGCAGATATACAAAAATAAAAAAAAATACGATGACTTACCCTAGGATACCCCTACAATGCCTCAAAAGTATATAATTCTACTGGAATACCTATATTGTGCATGTTACTTACATTGCATTTAAACATATATCACTTAACACATTATTTTTAAGTGACTTATGGAAATAAGTCACTTGGATTATCCTTGGTAATTTATACTGTTTGATTACTGTATCTGTGTATCTGTACTTATATAAACTTATTATTTTAAGTCGTGTGCCATGTAACCAAAATAGATGAAATATGATACCTTAAGAGTGGGTAAAATTAAATTATTTGTATGCTATGCAGTTATATTTAGTTTAAACCAAAATAAACACGTCAAGCAACAACAGTAATTAGGTTTAAAACACTTAATGTAATCTTTGCTAATTAAGATTCCTAATTATATTTTTTACTGTTTTTTCTCTCTACTAAATTAATAAAGATCTTAGTATGCGAAACGCATCCATAATAAAGTTGAACATTAAAATGGTATAAAATACCGACAGGTTGTTAGGTAAGACACATATGCAACAGTTAGGTATCTTTATTTCGAAACGTTTCGCCTACACAGTAGGCTTCTTCAGTCGAGTACAGAAAAGTTGATAGAAGCAGAAGATACTTGAAGACGATGTAATCAGTCCATCACCCTTAAAGTTTTGAGGTGGTCAGTCCCTCAGTCTGAAGAAGAGCATTGTTCCATGGAATGAAACAATATGGAGATGAAGTGACAGGATGGAGCCTAATATAGCGCCAAGAGGTGAGACGTAGGTCACTAGAAGAGGTAAGAACTCAGATGTTGGGAGGACAGGTCCCTCTCAAATCCAGCTGGATTTGAGAGGGACCTGTCCTCCCAACATCTGAGTTCTTACCTCTTCTAGTGACCTACGTCTCACCTCTTGGCGCTATATTAGGCTCCATCCTGTCACTTCATCTCCATATTGTTTCAATACCATGGAACAATGCTCTTCTCCAGACTGAGGGACTGACCACCTCAAAACTTTAAGGGTGATGGACTGATTACATCTTCTTCAAGTATCTTCTGCTTCTATCAACTTTTCTGTACTCGACTGAAGAAGCCTACTGTGTAGGCGAAACGTTTCGAAATAAAGATACCTAACTGTTGCATGTGTCTTACCTAACATAATAAAGTTCCTAACGTTGTATAACTGTCTTTGTTATACAACTGTGGGTAACCTAACCCCTGTTTTAATTATACCAAAAGATTTAAACAATTTAAACCAGCCTTCCTCAAGCTACGTAAATTCAGTTACACATATATTGTTCTGTAACATTATGTAAAAGAACATTGCAACATATGTGATACACATATAAAATTCTTGACTTGCAAATGAACGCTATAGTTATGAGGGTGTAAGAGAAAGTCTGCTGGGTAAGGGGATAAAACTTACAATGTCTGCCGAGGCCCCTGAGACCCACCTGCGCCGCCATATTTGTTGTTGTTGGAGGTGAAGACTTAAGGGCCACAACTGGTCACACTTTATTTAACTTTATTCACTTTGTCTGACTTTATGGGTTATCCTAGGTGATCTACACATATTATGCTATGTATAATATTTTATGTAACTGTATTTATGTGTACCTATACCTGAATAAACTTGCTAACTTTTTATCTCCCGCTCCTTGCGGATTGATGCTTTATTCAACCATGGAGGTTGAAAGAAAGAAATTGTACTCAGATTAAAAAAAAAAAAAGAATTAAAAGTGGGCTCCACTGCTCAAAATCTGGGAAGAAGATGATGCGTATATGTACTTAGTTATCTGGTTCGTAGTTATACTTTTATTTTTGTAAGCACATTAATTAATGTGCTGTTGTAACTGCCCTGAATGTTCTGCATAACTAGGGTCTTTCTATAAAGTATATCAATAACATCATATTTTCTGTATCAATTGTAAGCCAGTCTTTATAGAAATAAAGTTTATCATTTATCAAGGATGATGACCGACTTCCTTAAAAGCCGCAGAATGTTCAAAAAAAAAAAAAAAAGAGCTGATACATGGCGCAACACAGACTGTCGTGCCGGCAAATAGGAACAAAATGTTATTCAAAATAATAGGATATTATACCACCGATACCCAATGCAGAGCGAGATGGCCATATTCTACCAATGTTATTTTCTTCGTGTGGAAAAATTACGTGATCCGTGTCACCACCTGATATGGGTCTCCTAAATTAACCTATTAAGCGGTCCAGGCATAATGGCGGGGACACGCGTCTGACACAGGTGAAGCTGGGTACCTCATAATAATAATAATATAATTATATCTTTATTTCTACAAGTACATGTACAAGGTATACAGACCATAGCTGACATCAATGACATACTACTATATAGAAAGCCAATTGTTATGGTGAGCATTTCGGCCAAATTAGGTCAGTTTTGTCCCAGGATGCGACCCACACCAGTCCACTAACACCCAGGTACCTATTTTAAACTGATGGATGAACAGGGACAGCAGGTGCGCTAGTGATCAAGGAAGGTTCCTAAATAACAAAAAGGCACAATACAGTGACTGGAACGATACACAAATAACCCGCACATAAAAGAGAGAAGCTTACGACGACCTTTCGGTCCGACTTGGACCATTGACTTTGTCAATGGTCCAAGCCGGACCGAAACGTCGTCGTAAGCTTCTCTCTTTTATATGCGGGTTATTTGTGTAAGGAAGGTTCCTTCATGGAAAAATAAACATAAGTAGTATAATGTGACCGTTTGTTGACAACGTTTAGCCCACAAATAGGTCTACCTGGGTGAAAGGTACATGAGTATTTATAGGATGGAGTCAGGTGGAGAATGCTGGGTAGGTTGGATCTGATAAGGACGTGTACGGGCCTGGCGGGTGTGTGTAGTAATGTGGCGACGGGTTCAGCTGTTACTGTGTTGAAGCATTGTCAATAAAGGATCACATTATACTGCTTATGCATTTAATTTTCCATTGTGGTGGTATTTTATACCATTTATTTCCAAGGTTCCTTCATGCTGATGATGGGCTCTTAATCTAAGGAATTGGATCAGTGCCCCAATTCCTTGAACTAGAGCTGCATTACCCCTGCTGGTTTAGCGTTCCCAATGAATGTAATAATAACTGATAGTCCTATGGTGGCAGCAGCAGCCACAGGACTCAGATTACTGAGCATACTCTGTCAAGGTCATTAGAGTAACCTGACACACTTGCCACCATGGTTGAAACTGTGCAAGAAAGGTATAAAATACCGACAATATGAAAGTTTAGACACATATGCAACATGTCTACAATAAAGACATCCAGATGTTGCACATGTGTCTAAACTTTCATGGTTGAAACTACAACTATTATGTTAATAATTAGATTCCTCTTATCTAAATATGGTGTACTTCTAGATGTGTATCATCTACTATCATTCTAATATCTAATACTCGTGTTCTCTCCTTGAGGCAAATAACAAGCAAGCAACTAAAGACATTCTGAATATAAGTTAATGGATCCCAATGGAAATAAGTAACTGTGTCTGACTTTTCGGGTTATCCTAGGCAATTTACACATGTTACTATGTATGTTGATTGTACTTATGTGTACCTGTACCTAAATAAGCTTACTAAGGTTAACTTGTGCAAGAAAGGTATACAGTACCGACAAGATGAAAGTTAAGATATATGTGCAACACTTGGGTATCTTTAATGAGGAAACGTTTCGCCACACAGTGGCTTCATCAGTCCATACAAAGGAGAATGGTGAATAACAGGAGGAGTTTGAGGTAATCAGTCCCTCAGCCTTTAGTCGATGTGGTCAGTCCACCAATCTTAAAAGGAATACAGCATATGTTCATTATTCATTCATTAGGGATTTGCCGGTACTTCCGGGCCGGATCTTCTCCAGATGGCGACCCGGCGGTGGTCCCCGGTACAGCATATGTGCGGAGAAGTAGCTTATATACCGTAGGCAGGAGAGGTGCAGCAGTCGTAGGTGGTATCACATTTGTCCAATGTGGAAGTAGGTCATGGTCAAGGGTTAGGCAATTAAAGAATTCCCTGTATTAAGATCCCAAGATGTTGCTGTGTCAGACAGCGATACCACCTACGACTGCTGTACCTCTCCTGCCTACGGTATATAAGCTACTTCTCCGCACATATGCTGTATTCTATTCAAGATTGATGGACTGACCACATCGACTCAAAGTTGAGGGACTGATTACCTCATTCTCCTCCTGTTCTTCACCATTCTCCTTTGTATGGACTGATGAAGCCACTGTGGCGAAACGTTTCCTAATTAAAGATACCTAAGTGTTGCACATGTGTCTAATTTATCAACTTAAAATGGGTACTTCAGTGGTAATCAACTGTTGCGAGCTGCATCCTGGGAGAAAATTAGTATTTAAATATGTAAGTAGTAATGCTAGTGGTGTCCCGTGGTTAGGCTGATAACGCACTCAGGGGTGGGTTGATTGCATTTTCTTGGACTGCAGGAAGGCCTTCGACACAATTCCTCACAAGAGATTAGTGCAGAAGCTGGAGGATCTGGCGCGTATAACAGGAAGGGTACTGCAACGGATCAGAGAATACCTGACAGGGAGGCAACAACGAGTCATAGTACGTGAAGAGGTATCACAGTGGGTGCCTGTGACGAGCGGGGTACCACAGGGGTCAGTCCTAGGACCAGTGCTATTTTTGATATATGTGAATGACATGATGGAAGGGACAGACTCTGAAGTGTCCCTGTTCGCAGATGATGTGAAGTTAATGAGAAGAATTAAATCAGATGAGGATCAGGCAGGACTACAAAGAGACATGAACAGGCTGAACACGTGGTCCAGAAACTGGCCTCTCGAATTCAACTTTGCCAAATGCAAAGACATGAAGATTGGAGAAGGGTAAAGAAGACCGCAGACAGTATAGGCTAGGTGGACAAAGACCGCAAACCTCACTCAAGGAGAAAGATCTTGGGGTGACCATAACACCGAGCACGTCTCCGGAGGCACACATCAATCAGATAACTGCTGCAGCATATGGGCGCCTGGCAAACCTGAGAATAGCGTTCCGATACCTTAATAAGGAATCGTTCAAGACACTGTACACTGTACGTTAGGCCCATACTGGAGTATGCAGCACCAGTTTGGAACCCACACCTGGTCAAGCATGTCAAGAAGTTAGAGAAAGTACAAAGTTTGCAACAAGGCTAGTTCCGGAGCTCAGGGGAATGTCCTACAATGAAAAGTTGAGGGAAATCGGACTGACGACACTGGAGGACAGGAGAGTCATGGGAGATATGATAACGACATACAAAATACTGCGTGGAATAGATAAGATGAACGGAGACAGGATGTTCCAGAGAGGGGACACAAACAAAGGGTCACAGTTGGAAGCTGAAGACTCAGACGAGTCACAGGGATGTTAGGAAGTATTTCTTCAGTCATAGAGTCGTCAGGAAGTGGAACAGCCTAGCAAGTGATGTAGTGGAGGCAGGAACCATACATAGCTTTAAGACTAGGTATGACAAAGCTCAGGAAGCAGAGAGAGAGAGAGGACCTAGTAGCGCTCAGTGAAGAGGCGGGGCCAGGAGCTGAGTCTCGACCCCTGCAACCACAATTAGGTGAGTACATTGAGTGTTCGTGGTTCAATTCCCGACACAGGTGGAAACGTTGGGTATGTTTCCTTACACCTGCTGTCCCTGTTCATTTAGCACACCAGTTAGTCGACTGGTGTGGGTCACATCCTGGGGGATAACATTAATGAACCACAATGGAAATAAGACAGACAGTCCTCGATGATGTACTGACTTTCTCGGGTTATCCTGGGTTATCCCTCCCCAGGTTAAAAATCCCAACCAAATCCTACCTTACCCCCATTGTGACTTGACAGTGGTTTAGGATGGACCGAAGCGTCGTCATTAGGTTGTTCTTCTAAGTGCGGGTTTTTGATGAAAAGGTCACCTCAAAATTACCTCTTCATGCTTTCCACCGTCTCCAGCATTTAATCTGTGCTGGACTGAAAAAAAAATGGATGGTTAAACGTCTCCATCAGCAAAAACACCTAGGTGCTGTACATGTGTCTAATTCACCATTTCCTTACATTTGGTGCCGGTATTCACCTAGCAAGTAAGTAGGTACCTTAGTGTGGTGTGGGTCGCAGCCTAGGAGAGAATATTAAGGATGGTGATGGAAAAAATAAGGACGGTATGATGACGGTGGCTTTACTGGGATACCCTGGGTTACTAACCCTCCGGATTAATAATTTGAGAAAAAATTGTCTTGGTCTAAATTACAGTAGCATTTGCTTGTGAGATGCCGTGGCACTAAGATAGCGATGACTCCCCTTAAATAAAACCAAATGGAAAACGAAGGACTAAGACGTCAGATATCCTATAACCAATAGGAGGTTAGATAGTGTATGACGTCATGAACCTGTGAGCTAATAGGATGCTCTGGAGGATATGACATCATGACTCCTGGCGCTAATAGGAAGCTAGTGAGTGCATGACGCTACAAGTCTTGGAGCCAGTGGGAAGCAGAGGAGTGCATGGCGTCACTAGTCCACCCTAACACCACACAACAAACCTTTGTGATTGGCCACGTGTGTCTCACGGGTTGTTCTGTCTGACACCACCATCAGTAGTGACTCGCCCGAGGTGAAGGGAGGGCGTGCGAGTTCATAGTTCATAACGTTAGTCTGGCTGGTTATTGGGGAGACAGGGAGTGCTGGAGCACCGGAGACTGTTATCGTCTTCCCGTGACGTTGGGGCTTTGGGAATTGCCGACACAGTAACCAACACCAGGAGGTGAGCTGTGGATAAACATTTATGTTTGACGAATATTTGTGTGAAGTTTTCGTTCGTGTTCTGGATGTGTATATTGCAATTCCAAGTCTGATGACGTAACGTTTATTATACTACAATTTTATTGCTTTATTATTTAGTGTTATGGTTCAGCTTTTTTAGTCACTGATTATTCTGTCAGTATCTGAATAAATTACCACTGAAAACAGCTTATTGCAGCCGATGTCCGACAATTTCATCTTGTACCAAAAACTTTCGTCCTTTTGGGCTTGCCGGAAGGGGTTGCGGTCTGTGCACATTGAGACTGTTCTGGATCTTAGACCACGAGTATGCATGATTGCATTATATCCCCGGCTTATGCCAGCATAATGTGGTTATTGTTAGTTACCACATAAACAAGAGAGCGGCTTTGATCTTGTAGCAGCTAGCCAGTCTGCTGCCCTGCACTTAAAGCAATTTATACGCAGTGGCTGCTGAAATTAACCCAAAAATTGATTTCTAGTGAACTTTATACTGCAATAAAAAGCAACACACACATAATTTGATTTGTAGATTTGTGGGTTTGTTAATTAAGTGGTGTAAGTCTTGGTAGCACAGCAGCAACTCTGGGTGACAAGTATTGATAATTACAAAGTATGGAACGTTATGTCGAAGTTACTTCCCAACTCAGCATAAGCTAGGAGTAAGAATTTGGTGATGCGAGTGTTGATCATACGGAAATTCTATAAATGTTCCCTAAAACCCGCATAACGACTTCATTACACCATGACCTTGATACCACAAGGTCACACCGTACTTAAACTGCTTAACCCTGTGTCTTACTGTTTTATTCAGTACTGATCGCTCCCCTTAATCACGTGACTGGCATGTATTACCATGGCATAAACTTTTGGCATATGCCTTTTTTTCCCCAGTTACACATTTTTTTTTTATCAATACTGTGAAATCCATCCTGTGTGATGGAATATGAGAGGGAGACCTAGCTAGATTTTGTTCCTACAAAAATCTTAAAATCCTATGATAAACTTTTATGAGAAAAAGTTGGTGAGGAAATTGTGAATCTGTTGTACAAGTACACATGTGGTAATAAGCTTCCTCCTTGAATTTCATCACACTAGGAAAAAATCACACTTACTGTAAGAAAGTATTTTTGTATAGATGCTTTTGTCTTCCATCATCGTAGTATAGAATAATACAGTACTCCATTGGATAGTCTTATCAACCTAGTGCAGAGGCACATCAGAACCACCAGCTTCCAGTGTCCTTGTTACCACCACATCCTGTCCTCTGCTCACAAAACTCATAATATAATGTAAGTTTACGCTCTATTTTGTCATTATTAAGTAGACCTGGTGTATCACTAGGTATATAACGCTTACCGATGTATAGATTACACGTGCAAAGTTCGAAAGTTTTTAGATATGTATCTTAATAATTATAAAGTTGCACATGTTTACCCTGAAGCTAGTTATCATCTGTGTACCATGTTCCCTTCAAGGGAGGAGCTCCCGTGATGCTGGTAGAGGGCTTTTGATTAGAGGTACTGGAACTACCTTTCATCCTCCTCGAATCACTCTGATTACCTCCCATTCCTAGGTGTATGATTCCTACGGATTTAGCGCTTCCTTGTGAATATAATAATGTTGACAAAGTGGAACCGACAAAGAAATCAGACAGGTTGTGCTTCAGAAGTTTTAGTAATTATTATAAATTTGGTGAGGTCAGTTTGTAATTGTGAATGTTGCAAGTCATGTCTGGGGAAGGTTTCTCCCTTTCGTGGTACCCATACCCATGTATAAACCTCTTTACCAACAGGTTTCCTGTGGGATTATCTGATGTTTATATTACACTGGTCGTGGTTGTCATCTTTATACGTACCACATTTTACCCCGGTGAGGAAGGGCTCTTTGACTCAGAATTGGGCCTATTATGTACCCTTAGATCAAACCTAATTGTTTTTTTTCCTCCAGGCACTGTATAACCTCTTCAGGTTTAGTGCTCTCTCATAAATGCAATTTGCATTTCTCAAGTGTTGGTCAAGATGAGCTTCACTTGATGCGTTTCTAGTTTCGCTGGACATAATTGCATCATGTTTAACATCATTGAAGTTTGCGATTCTGCTTGATTAGCGATTCTGCTTGATTACATTCTGTCGGAGGCAGATGATACCCAAGAATTTCCCTGGTGTAATAATGTAACCATTCACATTACGAGGTAGTTGTCAGGGACAGGAAATATGACAGTCAAGGATACAGATTATCCTCAACCTGCCAGTTGGGCTACAGATGATGATGTGGTATGTTCGTCTTTTTTTTTCCTGTTCTCGATAATCTTGAGTTGAATGGTGTATTATAGTTTTTGTGACTGGATAATTGTCGCCTGAAATATCTCCATGAAATCCGTAATACTACTTCGGTTGAGGGTCAATTATCCTAAATTCTGGCACAGGAGTTTTCAGTACTGATTGTTAGTTTATATTCTTCAAGGACTTTACTTTCTACTGAACTTGTAACATTAAAGATCACATACCTATTATAATCATAAACTAGAGAAATTCACAGTTGGAATAGGTCTAGCAATACTAAAAATCATTCCCCTGGAGGCTTGATTAGTATGACACACAATATGTATATAGTTATTTTAGGCTGAATAAAGTAAATTTATTTGTATTGGGCTTTCCCAAAATTTCATAACTTTACCTAGTGGGAAGACCTGACCATCAAGTGATCGTGATATTTATTGTACCAGTTTCATTTACTAATAATGATTCCTCATATTTTATTGTTGCCTGGAAAGAGATTCTGTTTGACGTCTTCCATCAGTGTGCCATCTCCTGGCAGAGCTGCAGAGATATTGATCACAGGTACTGTACGTGGTGAAAACAGTTTCTTATTAATGCTAGGCAAACAAATTAGAATGTGCCATACTATATTAACAGCTCGATCGCTAGCGCACTCGGCTCACACATTGAGGTTCAGGGATCGATCCCCGGTACGGCTGGAAACCTTAGGACGTGTTTCCATAAGACACCTGTCCCTGTTCACCCATCAGTCAGATGGGTACCTGGGTGTTAGTGGACTGGTGTGGGTCGCATCCTGTGACAAAATTTACCTAAGTTGCCCGAAATGCTCTGCATAACAAGGGGCTTTCTATATAGTAGATGTCATTGATGTCAACTAGGCCTGTATACCATGTACATGTACATGTACTTGTAAAATTTATTATTAATAATAAATTCAAACATTAGGTATACATAGTGTTCGACCCGCGTATGCATATTTAAATTCACACGCTGGATAATAATACACTTGGGTACTAAGCACTAGCAATTGGCAAATATCTAAAATATAAATTAGGTGACTTCTTAATCCCTTCCTTCCCGGAAAAAGATAAGTTATGCAAATTCTTGGAAAAGTAAATTAAGGTATTTTACATTACGTATATTTTAACCAGGTTGATTTTGTTTTTTAGGATAGTTTTGGTACAAAATAAAACTTTAACCTATCGAAGATTTGCCTAATTAGTTACTGTTAAAAACTAAATCTTCGGCGTTAAGCTTAAAGGAAAAGTTGTAATTTTTTTCTTTCGGAAACTCGAGACAAAATGAAACTCTATTAGAGATGAGGCTGATTTCGATGTAATGTGTGTGGAAAATACTGTATATATTTTCCGGAAATACAGTATTTTATATGTAAATTGATGGCCTATATTGTAGGCAATAAAAATTAATTCGTAAATAAATAAGAGCCAGCGATGGGTGAGCGTCGCTGGGGAAGGGACGCCATGGTTTTGAATGTGGTACAGGCACGCTAATGAAATGTGCATAAATTTTCGTCGCTCATGGGGTTATATTGGGCTTAAAACCTCTCGAATAGGAGCCGAAATTGTTGGATTTGCAGTCCTGCTTAACGTGAGCATTAAGCAGTTGGACAGGACAGCTTCAGAACCCCAGCTAAGTCGTCTATTTATGTTGAGATTCTGGCCAGTATTTTCTTCATATTTAGGCAGGGGGTTGGTATAACACTGTAATCTCCAGACTAATTGGCGAGTCTTATTATTATAAATTCGCCTTCTGTTACCTAAATGTGTATATGTAATCATTTATTAATTTTAATATACAGGCCACATATTTATATTAATGTTTTTACCAGAATTCCTGGTGATGTATATTTCATTTGAAATTAATATAGGTCCAGAGTGACTTGTGGAGAGATATTTATGATAGGTATCGTAGAGGGACATTTTTTTTTGTGACCTAGATGTCCTAAAATTCCTACTTGTCTCTGTAACTTTGATAAAAAATAATTATCTTTGTTACCATTTACTGGTAAGTATCTTAAGAGTTACATCCAAGTAAATTTGATTTTCTACAATATCCATACGTTATTACTAGTACAGATTAAAGATAGACTAAATACTTATAACTATGGCCATAATTTTTTAAAGGGGTGAACTGGTAAGCCAGTGGAAGGGCTCGGTCAGATGACCAAAAGCTATAATATTAAAGAGCAGACAAACGATGTTTTGGTTAAGAATTAATGCAGCCATGGATACATGTGGTACTTAGTGCTTATACTACGTAGGTCATCTGACTGAGACCCGCGTTAGGAAATTCTTCTTTCCTGAATAACAATACTTAACCATTACGGGAATAAATGTTAACTAGCCGTATTATTCATGTTGATGTATACAATACCATTAACTTGATGAATAAGACGTGTGCAACACTGGTATTTTTATTGCTAAACAGTTTCTCCCGTGCAATAGGGACTGATCACCTCAAAACTACGTGTACAGTCTCCTGTTATGTTCGCCAGTATTCAGTTGAAGCCTGTAATGCAGACGAAACTTTTCGGCAATAAAGTGTTGTATGTTTTATTCACCAACTGCTGTCAGGATAATACAGGACCACGTACAAGTCATTGTGCAAAACAATGAAATCAAAGAAACATGTTTGTTAGGAAAACCAGGAAGTAAACACAGTATAATGATCAGACTTCATT